GCTACACTGAGTGGACAAGAATTCTTTTAGCTCAAGTAGTTTCTTCACCATTGAGTCCCAGTGGCGCAATCCGCATTTGGCCGAAATTGGGTATGGAGATAGAATGCATTCGAGAAGGTATATTCGTAATCGATCGTTTCTGAAGCTTCTGGAACGTAGGATTGCAATGGGGCATTGTATTCGTTTCTCGCTCCCCCTTTCCAACGGGACTTCGGGAATCGTTTGGGTCGCACGTTTTTTGTCTGTTGAACGTTTCTATGATTTTTTAATTACGCACACATCCGAGCGCCTATGTTTTTTTCAGCAAGTTTTGGTTTCCACGGCATGTTGTTTGTGTAATTTGTTGTCTACTCTTTTTTAACGCGCTTTTTTCTTGCAACGCGTCACTTGTGTTTTGGAACTTTGCCGAGTCTGACGTGTTATGGTAAAATATAGTGGAAATTTTGATGTATTATATGGGAAGTACAGCTAAACATTCTTAATAAATTGACAACTAATTTCCCACTTATTCTTAAATATAGATGCTGTAAAAGGAGATGGACTAAGTAGCTGATTCTACATTACATTGACGCCAGATGTCAAAATAAAATAAATAATAAAATTATAATTTTTAGTTGAAAAACACATTCTTTTATTTGGCTTCCAATAAACCCTATTACTGCACCGAGTGAGCATTCTTTTATCTGCAAGGGTAAATAAGCTTTGGCTGGCCGAAGGTAGCTTCCTTTCTTGTTTTATTTGGACGTTACTTACCTATGGGTTTCAGTGCGCAATTTTTTGCATATATTGCGGCAGATGCTAATTTTGTCGCTAATCTCGTTTAGCTTATTAATGTCATAGACACACAGCTGAAGTGTGTGCGCATCGTACGAGATGAAAGTCCAGGTTATCAAGCTTTCCTATCAAATTTTCCCCTCTAGTGTCATCCTCGAAAAGGGTCTCCTCTGTGTCGTCATTTAATATTTGTACGGCTTTAACCATGTTAAAATCATATGCATGTTAAATCATATGCAAAACAAGAAAGGAAGCTAGCTTCGGCCAGCCGAAGCTTATATACCCTTGCAGATAAAGCAAACACCTATAGTTTAATGCTCACTCGATGCAGTTCCAGGGATTCCAGATTCAGCGTGCCTATTATTTAAATTTTGTTTTTAAGTTGTCAAAAATCAAAACGCCTACTTCCTACAAAGTTACAATGAATTTTCTTATATTTGTTTGAATATTCCTATGGGAGCCTTAAGATATAGTGGTCCGATCCGGCTCGCGCCGACATATGTACTACCTGCAATAGAAAGAAGACCTTCGGGAAAGTTTCATAGCGATATCTTTAAAACTGAGAGACTTTAAGTGCCCCTAACGGATTCTCCTGCAGATTCTTGGGGCTCTGAGCTGCGCAAGTTTATTACAGCCGCGCGCCACACCCATATCTTAAAATAAATAGGTTTGTGCACATTTAATAATTAAATAGTTGATTTATGGTTTATAACGAAACGGGGACAAACAAAATTCATGTCATTTGATTAATGATCTCTTGCTTTGTAATCTTTTGCAAAACAAATACGATTTTCACAGGCGAAATCAATTTGGCTCTTTGCATTGCAGACACTTTTTTGTATTTTATGAATTGAATTCAAAGAGAATTTAGGCGGAAGAACTTTAGCTACTTCTAGCTAGCTCTTTAAAAGGCTGCCAACACTGAGCACGTGCCGGAAATCGAAATCAGTGTTGGAACGTTCTGGACCCCCATCCCTAAATCAAAGATCCTAAAAGTCCACCCCTAAATCGCAGAAATTAGGCTGGCAACTCTTTTCGCTCAAAATGGCAACTCTTCGTTCAAAAGGATGGCAACTTTCGTTCAAATTCAAAACGGACTAGACTATTTCTCAATAAAGTGATCAGCCGAAACCGAAATAATTAGATAGTAGGCTTTCCATTAGAACTAAAATAAAATTTACTTTCCGATTAGAGCCCTGCATGAATGGATTCAATGAATTATTTTGAATTTTTTCTTTTATATGAATGAATTAACTAGAATTTTGAGTTTAATAGAATTGAATGAATGAATGGCATGAATTCCGAAATAATTCAAACGACAATTTATTTTGAAGAAAAAAGGGCCATAATTTTTTGATTAAATCTGTCTGAATTTTATTTACTATGCAGTTAACATTGATTTGTTAAAAATTTATCACTTTTTGTTCTCAAAAGAAAGCACAAAAAAAACCTGGAAAATTAAAAGAAATTCATAAAATAATTCATTCGATTCATTCAACTCGAAATGAATTAGAACAACATTCAATTTACTACACATAGAATCAAATTAAACAAATCAGAAATTTCAAGGCATACTAAGATAAAACAAAAATTGAATGATACATGCAGGCTCTATTTCCGATTTTAAATTCAAAACTCAAAAGGGCGGCGAATCAGGATAAACATGACCTGCAAAATGTTTGAATCCCAATTTAACCGCAAATTTCAAATGTATTACTACACCGGAATCATATATGTACACACAAAAAAAAAACTTGGTAAATTCAACTGTAATAATTGTCAAACAGGCCCCAACCAGCAAAATTGTCAATTCTACTAAGTAAATTGTCATTTCACAACAACAAAATACACACAATTAGCAAAGACACAAACCCAAAGCAAAAACAAAATACACGTGACTATTTTAATAGTTACGTAACTATCTTTGTTGGTCAATTTTACCAAGCAAATTTTTTTGTGTGTAGAAACTGTTCATATATTTAAAAGCGTACGTTACTTATTATTACGTAGCACAGTCTGAGTTCTTAGTAACTATTTACTGTGTACCCTCGGCTAGTGCTTTCCGCTTCGGGCAACTCTTCATGTGGGCGTCGGCGTTTCCCTGCCCGCTAAATGTGTGCACACAAAAAAATTTGCTTGGTAAAATTGACCAACAAAGATAGTTGCCTAACTATTAAAATAGTTACGTGTATTTTGTTTTTGCTTTGGGTTTGTGTCCTTGCTAATTGTGTGTATTTGTTGTTGTGAAAGTGACTATTTACTTAGTAGAATTGACAATTTTGCTGGTTGGGGCCTGTTTGACAATTATTACAGTTGATTTTACCAAGTTTTTTTTTTGTGTGTGGCTGCAGTAAATGCAGAGGTACACCCTGCTAGTGCTCGTGCGGGACAACACCGGGTTGTGAGTGCACTTGGACATGTGGATGTCCAACGCATGTCTTTTCTTGGACCGAAAGTCGCAGTAAGGGCACTTGAAGGGAAGCGATGCCGGGTCGCATTCTTCCATATGAGTCACTAAGTCCGCGGTGGAATTTCTCTTCATGTAGCAATTCGGGCATCGCAGGTGGTGGTTGGGCGACAGTGAAAGAACCGCAGGCTGGTAATCCGGCGAAACTTTCTCCTCAGGCTCGGGTGAAGGCGAAGTTGGTGGTGGCTCGGACTCAAGTTGCAACGCCCGTCCTGAGATGCGCCACCCTGGAGGAGGCACCCATGGTACAGCCCGGACAACGCTCAGCGGCGTTGTTGTACTTGTCTGCGTCGTTCTTGGCGACGAATGGCCTCCTGGTTCTGACGGCGGCTGGTCTTCCAGCGGATCCAGCGGCGTTCCTCCTGGCGAGCTGAGTTGCTGCTTCTCAAAGAAGTCTGAGATCTTGATCTTCCTTAACTTCGGGGGCGTGGGATCTGGCGTTCGTCCTGGCGAGCCAAGTGGCTTGAAGAAGTCTGTGATCTTGATTTTCGGGGGCGGCGGTTGCGGCGGTTTCGGCGCAATGAATCCCGAAGCTCCTTCCGCTCCTTGGCCATAGTTAATAATAGTTACTCTGCCGTAAAAGTTGTTATTTTGCATGGCAGGCAGAATGGCGGCAGATACCGATAGCGATAACGATAACGCTTGCAGTTATAGCTTTGAACTCGCTAAACTTAAACACGAAATGGATTTGAGTGAATTCGAATACTTCGCCTCAAGCCCCAGGCGCCTGGAGCTGGCCAAGAGGGGGCTGAGCCTGTTTACAGGCGAGGCCATGATGGAGGACACCTCCGCCGGCGTGGTGCGATATTTCGACGACCTCCAGTGGAAGCATCCGTTTTTCATCATGATTGATGAGCTGGGCTTGGGGACCTGTCGCCTTCTAACGTTCCTCGCCACAACAGCGAACGGCGAGGAGCTCAGGGTGCTGTTCCTGCGACTAATAGGTAACTGCTCCGGCTTCAGTTTCCATGCTAACATGATTTCTGTAGTCCAGGAAGGCCCACGAGATGACCCAGCTGACGGCGGACTTGGAGCTGGTGCTGCAATTCGTAGATATGCAGGGGCTGGCCCCGTATCTTATGGGTATAGTGAGCGACGCCTGCCAAACCAATTTTATACTGCGGAAACTGCGCTATCCGACGCTATACGATCGGAGACACCTGCAGTCGAGGCTGGCAGTGACTCACATGACCCGCTCAGGTGTACCACGCGCAGAGTTATCAAAAGGCCATCGACGGCTACCTGGAGCGCACGAGAATGGACCCCGATCTGGCCCCAGCCCCCAAAAACCTAATTGTCCGGGAATTCGTCATCATGGAAGAAATGCTCCGGAAGAAGTTCGCGCTGAGCAGCTCGCCATTTTCCTTCGAGTGGGCCAACAACGACGACCTGGAGCTGTTGGGGCAAGCTTGGGCAGCGCAGTGGTTGTCTATAAAAGGGACAATCCGAAGACTGCGCCCTGACCTACTACAGCCCGAAAAGCAAGCGGAGCTGCAGCTGCAAAAAAACATTTTTGTGGCCATTTTCTGTTTTATTTTTAATAAAATGTAAAATACTTTCTTATTATTGTGATTATTATTACTGCTAGCTGCAACGGCAAATATTCCAAACCACGCAGGTACATAAAGGAAAAGCACCTTCAAAAATATTTGAAATATTCAAAAGTCCGTTTAACGTCCGATTTTGAACGAAAAGGTTGCCATTGTGCCACTAATTGATAGTGCTGTAAAATGCTCGAGGGGACCCTGATATCGATAACAATCATTGAAACACATGAGCAGGCCGGCGTTTTACTATCCGAATTCTGTGCCTAGCAACTTATTTTAGCTCCATAAACAACTAGTGAGTCGCCCAACAAATTGAAAAAGAGTATAGCTTGTAACCGGTGATATATTGCAGAAGGACAAAATGGCTGAGACCGAAAAAATCGAGGTACGCGACGTGACCCGCATCGAGCGCATTGGCGCCCATTCGCACATCCGCGGATTGGGATTGGACGATGTTCTGGAGGCTCGTCTGGTATCCCAGGGAATGGTGGGCCAGAAGGACGCCCGCCGCGCCGCCGGAGTTGTAGTGCAGATGGTGCGCGAGGGCAAGATTGCCGGAAGATGCATCCTCCTGGCCGGAGAGCCCAGTACCGGCAAAACGGCCATCGCTGTGGGAATGGCCCAAGCACTGGGCACAGAAACCCCATTTACCAGTATGTCCGGATCGGAGATCTACTCGCTCGAGATGAGCAAAACCGAGGCTCTATCACAGGCGCTTCGCAAGAGCATTGGCGTTCGCATCAAGGAGGAAACCGAGATCATCGAGGGCGAGGTCGTGGAGATCCAAATCGAACGCCCCGCCACGGGAACGGGACAGAAAGTGGGCAAAGTGACACTGAAGACCACAGAGATGGAGACCAATTACGATCTGGGCAATAAGATCATAGAGTGCTTCATGAAAGAGAAGATCCAGGCGGGCGATGTGATCACCATCGATAAGGCCTCCGGAAAGGTCAACAAGTTGGGTCGCAGCTTCACCCGCGCCAGGGACTACGATGCCACTGGCGCTCAGACCAGATTCGTCCAGTGCCCCGAGGGAGAGCTCCAGAAGCGCAAGGAAGTTGTGCACACCGTGACCCTGCACGAGATCGATGTGATCAATAGTCGCACCCACGGATTCCTAGCTCTTTTCTCTGGCGATACCGGCGAAATCAAGCAGGAGGTGCGCGATCAAATCAACAACAAGGTTCTCGAGTGGCGTGAGGAGGGCAAAGCCGAGATAAACCCGGGTGTGCTCTTCATTGACGAGGTACACATGCTGGACATTGAGTGCTTCTCCTTCCTGAATCGCGCGTTGGAATCTGACATGGCCCCGGTGGTGGTCATGGCCACCAATCGCGGTATTACTCGCATCAGGGGCACAAACTACCGCAGTCCCCATGGCATACCCATTGATCTACTTGATCGCATGATCATCATACGCACTGTGTCATATTCGGAGAAGGAGGTCAAGGAGATCCTGAAGATCCGTTGCGAAGAGGAGGACTGCATTATGCACCCGGATGCCCTGACAATTCTTACGCGCATTGCCACGGATACAAGCCTACGCTACGCCATTCAACTCATCACCACAGCCAATTTGGTGTGTCGTCGTCGCAAGGCTACCGAAGTGAATACCGAGGATGTGAAGAAGGTTTATTCCCTGTTCCTTGACGAAAATCGTTCCAGCAAGATCCTGAAGGAGTACCAGGACGACTACATGTTCAGCGAGATCACTGAGGAGATTGAAAAAGACCCTGTTGGTGGAGGTGCCAAGCGTCGTTTGGAGGGCGGTGGAGATGCCCAGCCCATGGAGCACTAGGGGCCACTTTAACATCCCAGCAACCTCCCAGTACATTCTCATGAATATTTTACGACCAATAAATAAGTTTCCTTGTATCTACGATTAATTTGAATGCCTTTGATTGCGGTGTTTATCAGGATTGTAATTAATAAAAAAACTAACATAAAAATGGATTGTACAAAAGCTCCTTAAATAATTATTTTAAAGTTAACAAAAATTGGATTAATACGCATTGAAGAAATACTTTGGTATTTCATAAATTTGGTCGGAAGTTTGTAACGCAGTAAAGGATACGTTTCCGACCCTATAAAGTTTTTGATCAGGATTACTAGCCTTGTCCGTCCGTCCGCCTGTCTATCCGTGCGATCTCGCAAACTATAAGAGCTGCAGAGTTGCTGGTTTTGTTTTAAATTCCTTAGCTTCCCATTCAGCATAAGTTTATAATGTCAATGTGCCACGCCCACTCTAACGCCTAGAAGCCGCGAAAAACTGGCGCCTGCCGTTTTAAAGCTATAATAAAAATTTAAACTCAAATGTATTTGATTCGTCAATACCGCCCACACTTATGCCTTGCATTTCCAGTGGTAGCACTGCCTCCGACTAAGCGGCACCGTCGCCGATAGTTGTAATCGAGAGTTCTCGACTATAGAGTTCTCTCTTATTTTTTTTATGCAAACTTTGATCAGGAAAAATAGCTTGTATCGATCGGACGTCTATAACACAGTGCAACATGAAAAATGTAACCGCAATTTTGATTTCATGGGCGGAAAGAACTCATCGAAATAAGCTAAAACCCATTTGGGTTTCTCTGGCTTAGCTCGCGTTTACCTATTATAGCGAGTTAAAGTTTTACATACAAAATTTATTTGTAACGGCCATATCTTGTGAACCAATTAAAATTTTACTATCAAGTCTTCAGTGATTATGTAGCTATGAACCCAAGGAACTAAATTGACAAATGACTCTTGCGCACTTAGCACCTAGTGCACCTAGCGCGTTAAAAAACAAATTTGCCTAATTTTTTGATTTTTAACGCGCTAGGTGTACGTCTTAGCAAGAGTCATTTGTCAATTTAGTTCCTTGGGTTCATAGCTACATAATCACTGAAGACTTGATAGTAAAATTTTAATTGGTTCACAAGATATGGCCGTTACAAATAAATTTTGTATGTAAAACTTTAACTCGCTATAATAGGTAAACGCGAGCTAAGCCAGAGAAACCCAAATGGGTTTTAGCTTATTTCGATGAGTTCTTTCCGCCAATGAAATCAGAATTGCGGTTACATTTTATAACCCTAAAAATGTTGCACAGTGTAATATATACTCTATATCCTATTGCTTCCATAGAAACAATAGGGTGAAATAGGTTAAAATTTTATTTTCTTCAAGATATATTCATACATTTCGTTGTTTGTTATTTCCTGTTTGTTATTTCCTCTTGTCCTTTGAATAGGATACAGAATTTTATTATCCGGTACTATCGGATAAGGATGAATAATCTTTCTGGAATACAGACAAAAAAAATAATTTCCAAGCTTCCTATAGCTCCCGAAAATTGTAGAATTTAGACTTGAGGTATATTTGTTTTTAAATTGGTTAATAGGGTGTCTGGCATAATTTTAAGAATTTATCCCCACCATTTTTTGGTTGCTTATACATGAATGAAGCATCGTAATTACTAGAACCATTGCATTTCCATTCCCAATAAATGCTTTCCGTGTACCTAAAAATAGTTTTATTGCATTTATTTCGCATTTCCATTACTGAAATTTGCACTTAGCGTGAGTATATCAAAATATATCTTTGCATTAGTATAAAACTGTCTTTATGGCTTAGTTAAGTCTCCTCGGATACTGCTCCCCTTTCAAATACAAGAAATCTGTTACAGAAGTTGTTTGATTTTCCAAGACCCTGGTCTCCTTAAAGTCTTATGTGTGATCTGTCTAGTTTCTAGTTAAACTAAACTGGTTTTAACACTTATACAATTTACAATTCCATAATATATATATGACTGACAATGTGATTTTTGGCAAGATAAGACAGTATCTTATCGCCAAAAAGCACATTGAAAACTTGGGGATGATTCCTCCTTGACTAGGCAGACGATATATATGTATAAAAATTGCTTTCCAATCGCTAGTTAACAAATCTCTAGTTACAGTGGCATATTATTTGGTAAAACTTCTATTTGGTTAGTAAACACAATTCTATTCTTTGAATAATACCAATTCCAAACAATTGTCAAGGCAAAACTAAAATTTTGAGAACTTCCTGCAGGTTGTTTTCTTGAATCTACCATTTCCTACTCAGACTTTTTGACTTCTGGTTTCTTTTCCTCTATGAGTTTTTCCGTGTTTTTGTCCTCTAACTTTGTATCGCTAACAGCTTCTTTTCGGGAGCCGCTCCGGAAAAAGTGATGATGGGTGTGGTAGAAGGCAGCCCAGAGAATTAGAAACGTAAATCCATAATAGTTAACCGCTCCGTAAACCACGATCCATCGCTCGTATTTCAGAAACACAAATGCGGTGAGACACCATCCCATGTATACTACGTTATACGATTTCATAGCGATGAAGTATAGCAGTTTGTAAATGTCAGAGTTGTCAAGGATGTGGCCCCATTTCGGCAACACCACTTTGGTGTAGAAGCGGGTTATCTACAAAATCGAGAAAATAATAGATTAATTTCTGATGAATTGATGAACATTGTATAAAATCATAAAATGACCTATGTGTTAGGCTAGCTTTTTCTGATATGAGTCGTTTCGGAAGCTTTTTGTATAAATTTATCTTTCTTATAGATAAATATGTTATTTTCTATAAAGTAAAAAATTGTATAATTGATATAAATATTTTAAATTTTTTGTGCAACCTCCAGAACTTGCAAATCTCAGATAATAACAAAATTAAACCACTTACCTGCTTTTCGGTGCTCACGACCATGTATTCCATCAGGAAGGTCATATAATATCCGCTGTGGTAACCATGCCAGACGGCCAGGAAACCCAAGGCAGCTCCATAGCTGATCGTCCGATTGTTGAGGAACTTGAGTCGCTTGTATACATACTGTCCCACCCACTGATTCGTGTTCACATTGAAGCTTTGCACATAGTGTTCCATCGTGTTTCCCGTCTCCAGGAGCTTTAGCTTTACATTACTGCAGCCCGACCAATCTGGTTGCCCATTCTTGTCCTCTCCTTTGTACGTCAAGCCAATGCAGATAAGTGCACCCTCTGTGAGCAGCCAGCATGATATGTACTTGTAGAGACTGAATTTGGCCCAGAAGCCCAGGAAATAGATCCTCTTGATAAACGAAACTTCTGCAAACTCAGGTGTAAGGAAGTACGAGTCGGGGAGATATCTCAGTCCAACTTGGCACACGACCAGGTAAAAGGCACCGGCTCCAAAACGACTAACGCCTGCCTCCAGGCTCCCCTCGTGCTGACGGAATTGCCCATTAACAAAGGCCTGGTAGCGGCGATAGGGGAACTGAGGTCCCACCAGAAATCCACTGGGGAAGTAGGCGAAGGCCAAGAGTTCCAAGAGTGAAGGTGGTTCCTTTAAAGCCGTTTCCTTCTGGTCTTTTGACAGCTCCGATTCCTCTTTCAGCCCGTCGGTGATATCAAAGCCGTAGCCAATCATTCTTAGTACCAAAATGCAATGAGGCATCGTCCACAATATATCGTATTCATTGCTGGAGGTGTAGAAGTAACCAAGCAGCAGATAACTCATGTGGAACACAAAGTTGATGGCCAGAAATATTTGAGTTTTTTTTCTCAGGATGAGTACCAGGAAATAGGTTGTCAGGATGGCCAGCAGAGAGTGATATGTGTCACGGCCGTAGTTAAAGTAACATAATCCTGCGCCACATCCGGCAAAAAACATGTGATGCACGGTCTTGTCGGCAATGGTTGCTATAAACTTGAGATAAAACGCTGCCAAGGGGTAACCTGAAAACAGAAATAAATGTATCGTTAGTCGTTATATATACAGGTACAGGTATATATCAGTTATATATTTCATACTATTAATTATTATAATATTTTCAACTCGAAAGTGCGGATTAAAAAAAACCAAAATTGTTTTTACTTTCACTTTTCTTACTAAAAATGGGAATGGCAAAAATAGGAATAAAAAAACACCCCTTTTAATATAAGTCTATGTATAAACACCTGTGCACACATATAAGCTATATCTACTGTAAAATTTGTATTTTGGGCCTATTTTAACTTCATTACTCGATCTGATATAACAGCTTACCGGCCAAGATAGTTAGGATCAACCGGAGTGCCTCAACGGGAACCCCAACTCCCGAGGCGAGTCCATCCATTAGGCCATTGTGGGGCAAGACTTCCGTGTATTCCGTCATGCTTAATCTGGGAAAAAAGAGTTGCAGCTTATCAGTAACTTTACTCGCGTGTCTCGCTGGTTCATTGTGCCAGAGTCCTTATCACCCCTAATTGTTGTTATTGTTATTACGCAAACTGATTGTTTTTTGATCATCAAAGGGAGGATGGTGGCGGGGAGGGTAGAGATTAAGCAATGGAGCGCAGAAACAACAACAACCACTAACGAGTGCACTTGGTCAGGGTCAATGAAAATTGAAATGCAAAGGTCGAATTATCTCGGCGAACCAACGAATTTGATGATGACGCACCTGCCACCGCACGGATTTAAATATTTTATGCCTATTGATTTCACGGTCAGGTCATAAAAACAGCGAACAACAAACGAAAGCGGCAATCCGAATTGTTGGACAGATGAAAATTCCTAAAAAATCTCACACAGTCGATATTTCCCCCAAAAAATCCAGCGGAACTTTAGTCGTAACGTTTTTCGTTACGTTTTGACGTAGTCTGTCCTAGCGTAACGGACCACCTAAAAATACCGAAAAACGTAAACCCGATAGGTTTGGAAATCGAAGAAGAAGAGATATACCGAATTCCTTAGATTTTAAAAAGTTTCATTTATTTAATTGAAGCATTAGCCTGACGAATCCGGGAATTCCGACCAAGGCCAACGGTCAATGCGCAGTCAGCCGCAGAGTTGACACCAGAAACGAAAGCCACAACAGCTGTTCTGCCGCTGGGTGAGATTCTCTGTTTACGTTTACGTGTCACCTGAATGGGACTGAGATTTGCGGCTTTGGAACTGATTGCACTACATATTCCCGATCCACAGCAATTCGGATGCCAAACTGGCACACACGGGGAGCAGTATGCGCCGAAACAACTACCCATATCAGCCCCTGAACCACCAGCCATCGGGACCGAGTCCTGCGAGTCACGATTCCTTGGAGGCGGAAAACGAACAGGCGGCGGAGGAGCTGAAACAAAAGATCGGGGCCCTGAAGTCCCTCACCATCGATATAGGCAACGAGGTGCGCTACCAGGACAAGCTACTGCGCGGCATAGACGATGATATGGATCGAACGAGTGGATTCCTGGGCAACACGATGACACGGGTGGTGCGACTGGCCAAACAGGGTGGTGGTGCCCGTCAGATGTGCTACATGTTTCTCTTTGTCCTCGTAGTTTTTTTCATCCTCTGGCTGACCCTTAAGTTCAAGTAGTTGTTGCTAATTTTTATAAAATATATACCTACAGATTTGTATTGTTTAGTTGAAATTTTTGCCAAGATTTTACGGCAGATCCTACGGGACAAAAGGAACACTTTTAAATTGTAAATAACTTGAGCTAAAAAGTTGATAAGTGAACTGACAACAATTCTTTAAGTTCCAGCTAATTCTTTATGGAAAAAAAGGCTGACTCATTTATATTAATGCATAGTTACGAGCTTGCCATTTTTTTTTAAAAATTGAACTTTTCCTATGACGTGCAGTTTTTAAAAGTCATTGTGGAGGAAATTAACCAATAATGTGTGTACAGTTATAATTTTCGTGAGAAGTATGACTCAGTTTCCGACCCTATCACAACGCTCCGATCGGACGCCTATATCATACTGCTCGTATAGGAACAATCGGGAAAAAAGAAGAAAAACTAATCTGTGTTTAAAGAAATTTTTCGAAGTAAGCTTTCAATCTTATTTAGATTTTCCAAAAAACAAAAAAAAACGTTTTCCAAACGACTTCTTCTTTTGTATTCTAAAATATTTAATTACATATTTTATTGTTAAGCGCGGAAGTGTTAATTTGCTCAAAGTAAAAAAAATCACACGCGTAAAAATTAAGGTCGTTGGGTGGGTTACATTATGCACTTACAGCTAATAATGATTATGATTATCGGACTTGTTGCAACTTTAATTTTCTCGTAATTTGATCAAATTTAAAATTATTTGAAATTGGAACCGATTTTTTCTTAACTATTGGGGGCTATTGCTTTTTGATAACACAACTCTGAGGTAAACCTAAGTCGACGAAAGTATCCTAAACTTCGGTGAATGAGAAAACCGGAGCGTTTCAGACTGGCAAAGCGGCTATGCGTGGAAGGTCTTCATCTTTTTATTGCGTCTGCTGAAGTCTGGCTGATCAAGGTCATCGTCGTCGGCCTCCTCGCTTCCCAATTCATCGTCGCTGAGAAATTCCGCGTAGGGATCACCATTCGGACTCTCCAGGGCTCGAACTGGGTAATAAACATAAGAAGAGAAATTAAATGACGTTTTAATTTAAAATAATAATCCTATAGGACATACTCTGCTGATCTAGAATGATGTTCTGCTTCTTGATCTCCTCAATGTCCTTCTGGTTATCACTAATCTTCCGCCTCATCGTCTGTATGCATTCAGTGGTCTTTTTCAGGATCTGAGCTCGACTCGCCTGTAAAATACAAAATATTCATTAAAAACATCCATTATATTTTTATTTATGTTTTTTTCGGCCATTAATTATAAATATTTATTATTTAAGTAATGAGACGAGAGTTTGATTTGTCCGTCTTCCGTTTTTTTGCCTTTATTTTAAACTAAATGTAAAAACTCTAAATCAATTTGTTAACTATTATTAACATTTATATATATATTAACATTTTGGCGAGATAGCAACACAGATACTAGCTTGAAAAAGTTGTCTTATTATTCAAGAATACTGTTAATAAGAATTCGGGCACCTGCAAATTTGTAGTAATTCAAATGAACAATTAATTAATTCCTTACTAAATCAACTAATTTTAAACAATTGTGGAACTTTTTAGCTGATCCCTACCAACAATCATCTGTTGCCCTCCTTTACCTTCTCGCCCTTGAGTGTGGGAACAGCCTCTCGCAGGTTCGTAAAGCTCTCCTTGATGTGATCCCGTCGCCTTCGCTCCAAGGCATTGTGATGCGCACGCTTCTCGGCCTTCAAAAAAAAGTAATAAGTACCAATGAAAACCGTAAGTACAGTTGAGTTCAGACTAATAGTAATTTCTTACATTTTGATTTAAGATCGTATAACATTTTTGAGTAAAATGTACAAAACATCCAGTCAATACTATTCAAATTTTGTTTTGGACGGATATACATATTTAAAACGGAAAAGCATTGTTTTTTTTTGGAAATTCTGTTAAACATTTATAAAGTACCAATTATTTTAGAAAAGACTACTTTCCGTGATGAATGTAAATAAATGATACCTATCACTTTAATAAACGTTGCTATTGTTATGAACTTAACTGTATGTAATCACGATTTCGACACAACAACAACATGTGCGTTCTGTTTATCAACAAAAGGCAATGTGCGCAGTCGCTTCTTCTTTTTTTATACTGAAACTATCAAACCTGGGTGAAATTCGCAGTGCTCGTGTGACGGGAGGAGCCCAAACCATTATCCGAGTCCGCATCGTCCTATAAAACCATTAATTACAAATAAGTTCTGTATGAAGTCCCACGTATAGGTTTTTTTATCGAATTGCTTACGTCACTCTCGATGTCTATGTCTCGGTCGTCGTCGCTCATACTCATGTTGCTTCTCTTGCTCTCCGGTCTTTAGCGCAATTAGTTAGTTATTCCTTCAGAGGATTTGAAAAAGACTGCGAATGTTTGTTTGTGATTATTCCAAATAAATCTGTTATTTTGTTGTTGTCTGCTCACGTTATTGTCTATCGACTTAATCGAATATTTAACTGAAAAAAACATCGAGTGCTACGATAGTGTGACCACTTTAAAGAAGCCGGAAGATACTCAAATTTGAACTGGACTTGAAGCCCGCGCACAGAATTTGTATTTAAAATTTTAATCTTTTCTAGATATAGATATAGGAATCGCGATGTATTACTTTTAAAAACAAGAAAGGAAGCTAGCTTCGGCCAACCGAAGTTTATGTACCCTTGCAGATCACGCCTATTAACTTACCGGCTTGTAAAAATTCATAAATATTAAAAAAATAATAATCCCAGGAGTAGAAGCAAAGGGTATACATACTATAAACTACCTAGATGCGTTGTTGGGAACTAGTTGGCCACTCAAATTTGTACATTTTTAGTTAAATGTATCACAAAACCCCAGCGCTACATTTTCACTTACGATTGTAACGAGAATAATCCAAAATTTGGCATAATTTGCGAACGGTTCTATTATTTTTTCCAAGGCTAAAAAATGAATTATTTTCTTTTTTTGGGACTCAAAAGTTTTTAAAAAATCTTTAAAAAAAATTATAATTAAATTTATATCAGCTTTCATTAGTGAGAAAATGAGAAAAAGGAAGCCCTTCCAAAACGTTTCTATTATTTGTGCCTCCAGTGTCCTTAACTTGTAGAAGTGAACTAAAGCAGGCCATCCACAGACGAATTTGCTCAACAAACATTTTCGCGAGCACAGGCAAGATAGAATCGTTTCTACGTTTGTCGAACAAATTTATATGAAATCTAAACGCGAACACTACCACCAACGATGAACACACTAACATGTTCCTTGAACAAATTCGACTGTGGATGGCCTCCTTAAGCAACATCAAATTTTTGTCGCTTTTTATACCCTTGCAGAGGGTATTATAATTTCAGTCAGATGCTTGCAACGCAGTGAAGAAGACGTTGCCGACCACATAAAGTATATATATTCTTGATCAGCATCAATAGCCGAGTCCATCTAGCCATGTCCGTCTGTCTGTCTGTCTGTTTCTACGCAAACTAGTCTCTCAGTTTTTGAGCTATCGCGATGAAACTTTCCTTAAAGTCTTCTTTCTATTGCAGAGTCGGATCGGACCACTATATATTATGGCTCCCATAGGAATAATCAAAAAAACAAGAGAGAACGCTATAGTCGGGTTGGTGTCCCGACTATCTAATACCCGTCACTCAGCTAAAGGGCGTGCGAGGGAGATGGATATATATATAATATTTTTTGATTGTGCATAACTTTTTAATGAAAGGTCCGAATGTCTTCTACATTTTGATAGGTATAAATATACACAACAAAATTGCATTTATACTTATCGGAAATCTTTAAGGGTGTGGGCGCCAGACACATTTTAAAATCGTTAGTGGGCAATTGTGGGCGTTAGAGGGGGCGTGGCACTCGGCTGAAATAAACTTGCGCTGCGTATGAAGCCAAAGAATTTGTGTGGAAAATCTCAACCTTCTAGCTTTTATAGTTTCCGAGATCTCAGCGTTCATACAGACAAACAGACGGACAGACAGACGGACAGACAGACGGACAGACAGACGGACAGACAGACTGACAGACGGACTTGGCTAGATCGACTCGGCTAGTGACCCTGATCAAGAATATACATATATACTTTATGGGGTCGGAAACGCTTCCTTCTAGCTGTTACATACTTTTGCACGAATACAATGTACCCTTTTACTCTACGAGTAACGGGTATAATAATAGAAAAACCATTGTAACTTTGTAGAAAGTAGGCGTTTTGATTTTTAAAATAATACAATAAATAGATTAAGATAATAGTTAAACAAGAGAGAACGCTATAGTCGGGTTCCTGACCCGACTATCTAATACCCGTCACTCGGCTATAGGAAGTGCGAGGGAGATGGCTATATAACATTTTTTTGATTGCGTATAACTTTTTAATGAATGGTCCGATTTTAAAATCGTTAGTGGGAGATTGTGGGCTTTAGAGGGGGCGTGGCACTCGGCTAAAATAAACTTGCGCTGCGTAGGAAGCCCAAGAATATGTGTGGAAAATCTCAACCTTCTTGCTTTTGTAGTTTCCGAGATCTCAGCGTTCATACAGACAGACAGACGGACAGACGGAGAGACGGACATGGCTAGATCGACTCGGCTAGTGATCCTGATCAAGAATATCTATAGTTTATAGGGTCGGAAACGCTTCCTTCTACCTGTTACATACTTTTGCACGAATCTAATACACCCTTTAACGGGTATAAAAACATATCTGAACATTTATAGCACATCCTATAACGAGTATGAATACATATTGCTGACTGGGGAAGAGCCTAACCTCCCGTACCCCACTCTCTGCTCTTACTACGCCTCTGCCTAGCCAATATTAATGTGGCAAATTCGTAAACAAAACCAAATTTTTGATGTTTTGGTAATTTATAACAACTGTGGAAGTTTATAGGAGTACATAGTACACTTTTATTTAATAGTAGTTATTATTTCCGAAGTGCCGAACATATTCTGAGACTTCGCTGCAAACATTGATGTTTTCGTACGCAGAAGAACTTAAATTTTGGCCCACTCATAGCAACCTGTTTGCGAACGCTTTTACGCTCATAACAAACTCCAAATAATTCAACAATAGCCAAAAATCAATGAGCATAAGCATTATTAAATTGATTTTGTACTAAACAGCTGACCAACAGTTAACCATAATTCAACAATTCAAATATTTCGTTTTAACTCAAATTTTCCTGATATGAGCATGTTTGTGGTGTATTATTTAAAAAAGCATTTGAACGAGATCGTAACTTGTAGAGCAAGTTCATCTTTTGCGTATTTAAATATAGCGGCATTTGACATTGGGAAATATCTTACAAACAGCCACACTGAGAAAACAATGTAACCGCAGGACGCAACGCGCGAAATGCCAGAAGCAGCGGCAGCACTACTTGCTAAGAAGTCTCCCCCAATAGTTTCGACTTTTTGACAATTAAACCTACACAATTTGATGGCTTTTCCCACCACAAGTGCGCAACAAGCTGAGACGAACCGCAAGATACTCGAGGAGATCCAGACGAAGAAGCAGCTGCTCGCAGGCGGAATCATAAACCTGGGCCTGAGCACCACGAGTCAGGTGAGTTCGGAATGGAATATGGCGATCCCTCGATGTTTATCCGGACCTATTTCCCAGATGCCCGCTCCCCAGTTACTGGGACAGCCAACGACAGTGACTCCCGATTTCCAGGTGGGCGTGGGCATTGCCTCCAATGCCACATCCACCACCCGCTCTGCATTTAATCCAACGAGCTCTACGACTCTGGGCTTCTTTGTACCTCAGGATTCGTATTTTGGAAACAGTTTTATACCCGTGCTGCCTCGCCTGGAGCCGCTGCCGTCGCCCGCGACCACGCCCACCACTCCGAACGCCCCTCCAAGCCATAGTATTAGCAAATAGTCGCAACCACAATGGCCCGGATGAAGCTCAGGAAGCTGGAGGAGTACCTGCAGGGCGTTGATGGCTTCGAACAGCCCAAGATCTTGCTGGAGCAATATCCCACTCCTCCGCACATAGCCGCCTGCATGGCCCATCATATGCAATCGCAGCACGGAGATATCGAGGGAAAACTGGTTGGAGATCTGGGATGTGGATGCGGAATGCTCAGCATTGCCTCCACTCTCCTAGGCGCCCAACTCACGGTGGGCTTTGAACTAGACGGCGATGCGGTGGACACATTCAGATGTAACGTCGTGGAGATGGAGCTGCCCAATGTCGATTGTGTCCGGGCGGATGTCCTGCAGTTGGCGAACAGCAAGTGGGAAAAGTCGTTCGACACGGTGCTGATGAACCCGCCATTCGGGACAAAACACAATGCTGGCCTGGACATGCGATTCCTGGAGGTGGCTCTCCGGTTGGCTAACAGCGCAGTTTACTCCCTGCACAAGACATCCACAAGGTTAGAGTACTCACTATTTTCAATTTATATTCAGAAAATATTTTAAAAACAAGGAATTTGTTGAATCAATGTTATATATAGTAATTTATATTTATATATTTATACTATTTATATACTGCACACCTGATATAAAACTTTGGTTCAGATTCAATGTTTTTTTATATTAATTTATATTATTTTATACTACTATTCATATACTACATACTTGTATAAAACTTGTGTTCAGTTTCAAAGGCAGATGGTCTTGGACATTTTCATAGCCCAATGTTTAAAGTGCACATAAGGGACGTTTCTTATTAATCCGGTCACGCAGACTACACTACCATTTTTATTGATATGCTTTCATTCTATTCCGAAAATGTCTTCCAATATTCTCTTTCAAAAGTTGATTCATAACGATTAAGATTTTTAGGTCGATCTAAATGTTTAATGTTACATAGTGCTTTGATCCGAGCTACCTAAAAACATGATTGGGTTTAAAATATCATTTAACAAGGATCGCTAAGGATATTTGTTTGCGACCTCGGCAACCCATTTTTTCAGTATTGTGTGGTGCTAGGTGTGATAATTGTAAAGAACTGCAAAAAAACGACGTTTAAAATAACCTTTCAAGTGAAAACTAGAATAATATCTTGATCAAGATATATTGAGGAGTCGATACAGTTATGTCCGTATGTTTCGATGCCGTTTGCAAGCTCAGTTTAAAAGTTTAAAAGTTTAGCAATCTAAAACTTTCACAGTTGTTCTTAAATATGTGTACGAAGATAAAGTTGATCAATTCTAGGCCAGTCGACCTAGCCATGTAAAAATACCATAGTATGCGAGTAACGGGTATAAAAATAAAAACATATATTTTCTTCTATACAAATACTCTTTGATGTGCAATATGCATATCTTTCTACTCTACAAGTAGCGGGTATAAACAGATGCGCGCTCTTTTGTTATTGGCACACAACAGAAACAATTGCTACCGCCTTTCCTTATTGTTGTTGCTCCTTTTGTTATTTTGTATGCTTTGCAAGCAGAATACTATAAAACGCAGCAGCAACATCAGCCAATGGAAGTCAGATGGAAAGATGGAACTTTACCGTAGCCTACTGATCGTAGCTGCGTTGCTTCTAGTGTCCTTTTCCGCCCAAGGGCAGAGGCTGGGTGATGGCCATTGTCGCCCCACCGTCATTCGAGTCCAAGTGGGTGGAACAGTGTGCGAGCGCCTCTGCTACCGTCGCGACTACCGAGGTCCGCCGCTCCTCTGCCGTCGCGTCTCCAGAGAGGGGATGGTGCCCGTCTGCGGCAACGGCTGCTGCCTCAGCGGTCCAAACTGCCTGCAGCTGCTTTACACCTAATGTCGGTTGTAAACGATCGATTGGATTCTGTGAAACATATTCAGAGAAATAAACACTGCACAATCGAACGATAATAAAGTAAAATGTAATATAATTATAATATTCCTAAAAATACAATTTAATTTAATTTATAAAAATAATTTTTATATGAAAGTCCAGATTGCACGCAATAGGTAGTTTAATTTAAAAAGACGTTATAAGTAAAATAATTATACCCGTTACTTGTAGAGTAAAAGGGTATATTGGATTCGTGCAAAAGTCCGTCTGGATGAGCGCTGAGATTCCGGAAACTATAAAAGCTAGAGGATTGGCATTAAGCAAACAGATTCTAGGGGTTCCTAAGCAGCGCAAGTTTGCTTCACGCCCCCTCTAACGTCCACAAATCGCACAAAAATACGAGGTAAAAAAGAAATGACGATCGCACCATCTACATACAAAAGTTTTGATATCATAAAAAAAGTGTTTTTGTTTTATATCACAAGGTTTTGTTTTGAACATCAACCACTTTTGCTATAATACTTATATTAACTATTCTAATAGGATTTAAATCAATATATTTTCATCGGCAAGGGCCAGACCAATTGGTTACTGTATCCCCTAGTAACGGGTATAAGAAGTTTAGAAATTTTGTTTCATAAAAAGTTTTTTGTTTTGGACGACTTTTTGTTTGGTTGAATACCAACCCTAAAGGTTTATTATACCCGTTACTCGTAGAGTCTGTGAAGAAGACGTTTCCGACCACATATAGTATATATATTCTAGATCAGCATCAATAGCCGAGTCCATCTAGCCATGTCCGTCTGTCCGTCTGTCCGTTTCTATGCGAACTAGTCCCTCAGTTTTAAAGCTATCGCGATTAAACTTTCCCAAAAGTCTTCTTTCTATTGTAGGTAGTGCACATGTCGGAACGAGCCAGATCAAACCACTATATCTTATGGCTCCCATAGGAATAATCAAAAAAAATAATAGAAAAACCATTGTAACTTTGTAGAAAGTAGGCGTTTTGATTTTTGACAATGTAAAAACAACATTTTAAGTAGGCATACCTGCAAGGGTTTATAAGCTTCGGCTGGCCGAAGTTAACTTCCTTTCTTGTTTTTCTTCAATTTAAATTTTTTTTTTTGTATTGTTATTATATGTCTACTCTTTTTGGGTTTCATAATAACTCATCCCAGAATATTACAAAGTTAATAAAACAATTTTATCATATTCATAGGAAAGACTTGAGATATGTTAAAGGTTTATTTTCTGGTTAATTTTTTACCTTTGTATTTTATTTCTATTTCGCCAGGTCCTACATACAGAAAAAGGCTCAAGAATATGGTGCGCGAGGCTCTGTGATCGCCGAACTTCGCTACAACATCGACGCAAGCTACAAGTTCCACAAACACAAGTCGAAAGATATCGAAGTTGATTTCTGGCGCTTCGACATCAGCAAGGAATAGAAATAACTAACTTGGTTGCATTTCATTTTGGACTTCATTTATATATTTTAAATTGTAGCAAATAGGAAGACATTAAAATTGATCATATATGTTTTCTACTCCACATTGAACACAACGCCTTGGGCGCAGGCCAATTCCCCAGAGTGATTGACTGTGATGGTGGCCCGTTTGCAATACTGCTTCCAGGCATCCGATCCGGATTCCCGACCTCCTCCAGTGGCCTTTTCTCCTCCGAAAGCACCTCCAATCTCAGCACCATTGGTGGTGGTATTGATGTTGACGATGCCACAATCCGAACCCCTGGCTCCGATCCATTTAAAGGCCTGTCCAATGTTCTCTGTGAAAATGGCAGAGGATAGGCCCTGCTCCACCTCGTTATTCCATTCAATGGCTTGGTCCACGGATTTGGCTTTGAGGATGTACACAATTGGCGCAAAGGTTTCGCGATGGACAACGCTGGCATCGTGGGGCAAACCTGTGATTACCGTGGGTTCTACGTAAAAGCCTTCTCGCTGGATAACCTGTCCTCCAAAGGCCACAGTTCCTCCCAAGGTTTTGGCTTCCTCGATGGCTGTTTTGTAATTTTCCACGTTTTGTTGCGTGTGCACAGGGCCCACCAGGGTTTGAGCATCAAGTTGGTGCCCAATCTTGGGTATAAGCTGTTTATATTTACCAACCAGTGCCTTCACAAACTGATCGTGCAGCTTTTCGTGCACTATTATCCGTCTGGTAGTCGTGCATCTTTGACCACTAGTGCCAATGCAACCGAACAGAGCTGCGTCCAGGGCCATTTTTACGTTGGCAGATTCGTCTATTATCAAGGCATTGTTACCACCCAATTCAAGGATAACCTTACCGAATCTGCGCTGAACTTCTACGCCCACATCTCGACCAGTTTGGCAGCTACCGGTAAAGGACACGAGGTTTACTCTTTTATCGGCCACCAAGGTCTGACCAACGTCGGTTCCTCCTTGACAAAGAGTCACTACTGGCGGAAGGTTATTCCTGCGAAGCACATCAGCCACAATTTTTGTAGTGGCTACCGATACCAAAGGCGTGCTTGGAGCCCCTTTCCACAGCACACTGTTCCCAGTTGTAAGAGCGATGGCAGCATTCCAGCCGAAGACAGCATTGGGAAAATTGTACGCCGAAATAACGCCCACCACTCCCACAGGTCGCCAGGCCTCTAGAATCGAGTGATCGGCCCGCTCCGAGTTGATCAGCTGACCGGAATAAATCCTTGAGAGGCCAACTGCATAGTCGCAGATATCTATGAACTCCTGAACCTCCCCCTGACCCTCGCTGTAGATTTTGCCCACTTCAAGGGAGACTAGTTTTCCCAGAGGCTCCTTGTACTTCCTCAGTTCGTCACCGATTTGGCGTACTATTTCACCTCGAACGGGAGCTGGAACCTGTCGCCATTGCTTGAAGGCTTCCACTGCCAATCCGATAGTCTGCTCAACTTCCTGGACATTTCCCTGACGCACTGTGGCTATAGGTCGGCCAGTTCCGGGATCGTAACTGGTGATGGATGAACCCCGACCCTGCCATTGACCGGAATAAACACCTGGATTATCGCGTTCCAAGCCCAATTCCTTCAGGAAACTGTATTCCGGTTGGTCGATCAGGAATGCGGAGGACGATGAGTAGTTGGCGGATCCGGTGATCAGTCCGCGGGGCAACGCCAGCCTCGAAAGATTTTTCAAATGTGCCAGCATGCTAGATAAATAAGAAAGATAAAATATTTGCAGTCATTTGTAAGTAATTGACTTAAAACAAGAAGGGAAGCACTTGGTTAAGGGCCAGCCGAAGCTAATATACCCTTGCAGATCATTCCTATTAACTTACAAAAACATTAAATTCAGCTCTTCAATATAGCCGTCCGATTTTTGTCAAAATAATTCGAAATTCGGAAATATTTCAAAAATAATATTCCCAAGAGTATAAGGTAATATTTCAAAAAACACCGAAGATACATTTTTTTTCGTAATTTTTTCCGATTTATTTAATGAGAGCTATAAGATATAGTTGTCCGTTCCCGACTTATATACTACCTACGTACTTTCACTTTCATTTGCTTTGGTTAAATCTGTAGAAATCAAATTGAAATTAAAATTATGGAAAATTAAGAAACTAGGTTTTTTAACGAAAAATTTTTTCTTCTGGCGCAGGCGAACGAGAGGAGATTTATGGATTACTGATTACGACCTGATACCATTCTTATCGAGCGATAACAGCTCCGTCTGATTTCTAGTCACTAGCTGGAAAGTTTTTTAGATCCCCAGCAGAGCGGATCTACTGATAGCATCACAATTGAGTGACTTACTTAGTAGGTGCCCGGATTCAAAGAGCGACTGCCCGAGTCACAAGTCAATTATCAACTGAGGGAAGATTTGAATGCTGAACCAGCGGGACGATTTGGCTTTTGTGGGCAGCTTATCGCAGGCGCAAACAGAATTAATGCAAAGAGAGAGGGTGGGGAGCTCAGTTCGCGTCTTATCAATAAAATTATAGAAAATGAGAGGTTGAGTGCAGCATGCATATAGAATTAAAGCATACTTTCAGAGGGTTATTGGAAAAGAAAATTACATTTTTCAATTTTATCATGAGTTTGTTCCTTTAAAAGCTTAGGTATTGGATATAAATATTAATCAGTTTTTCAATACTTTTATTCCCGTTACGCATAGAGTAAAAGGTTATATTGTACTCGAAAAAAATTAAATGGCCGCTGGATGGAGCCAGTAGCTTTGACGACTGCATATCTCACTCTCCCTCGCCGTCCTTTAGCTGAGTAACGGTTATCTGAGAGTCGAAGTACTGGACTATAATAATAAGAGACATTTTTATACCCTTGTAGAGGGTATTATAATTTCAGTCAGATGTTTGCAACGCAGTGAAGGAGACGTTTCCGACCACATAAAGTATATATATTCTTGATCAGCACCAATAGCCGAGTCTATCTAGCCATGTCCGTCTGTCCGTCTGTCCGTCTGTCCGTTTCTATGCGAACTAGTCTCTCAGTTTTAAAGCTATCGCGATGAAACTTTCCCGAAGGTCTTCTTTCTATTGCAGGTAGTACATATGTCGGAGCCAGCCGGATCGGACCACTATATCTTAAGGCTCCCAAACAAATATAAGAAAATTCATTGTAACTTTGTAGGAAGTAGGCGTTTTGATTCTTGACTACTTAAAAACAAAATTGAAATAAATCGAAACGCTGAATCTGGAATCCCTGGAACTGCACCGAGTGAGTATTCTTTTATCTACAAGGGTATATAAGCTTCGGCTGGCCGAAGGTAGCTTCCTTTCTTGTTTGAAACTACGTTATGTAAATCAAAGCAAAAAATTTAAATAAATTGATCATTTCTGTATGCCCAATACACTGTGCAACATTTTTATACCCGTTACTCGTAGACTAAAAGGGTATATTGAATTCGTGCAAAAGTATGGAACAGGGAGAAGGCAGCGTTTCCGACCCTATAAAGTATATTAATTCTTGAACAGGGTGACTAGCCGAGTCGATATAGCCATGTCCGTCTGTCCGACTGTCTGTCCGTCTGTCTGTCCGACTGTCTGTCCGTCTGTCTGTCCGTCGGTCTGTCCGTCGGTCTGTCCGTCGGTCTGTCTGTATGAACGCTGAGATCTCGGAAACTACAAAAGCTAGAAGGTTGAGGTTTTCCACACATATTCTTAGGCTTCCTACGCAGCGCAAGTTTATTTCAGCCGAACGCCACGATTTTAAAATTTGTCAGGCGCCCACACCTTTAAAGATTTCCGAGAAGTATAAATGATATAAATGATATTTTGTTGTATCGAAATGTTGAAGACATTTTTCAAATCGGACCTTTCATTAAAAAGTTATACGCAAGTTAACTCGCGCTCCCTTTAGCCGAGTGACAGGTATTAGATAGTCGGGACAACAACCCGACTAAGCGTTCTCTCTTGTTAGGGTTAAAAAAGTGACCGCAATTCTGATTTCATGGGCGGAAAGTACTTATCGAAATAAGCTTAAAACCATTTGGGTTTCTCTGGCTTAGCTCACGTTTACCTATTATAGCGAGTTAAAGTTTTACATGCAAAATTTATTTGTAACGGCCATATCTTGTGAACCGAAAAAATTTTACTATCAAGTCTTTAGTGATTATGTAGCTATGAACCCAAGGAACTAAATTGGAAAATGACTTAATGAATGTAGAAGACATTTTTCAAATCGGACCATTCATTAAAAATGCGCATTTGAAAAAATGTATATATCCATCTCCCTCGCACTCCCTTTAGCTGAGTGACGGGTATTAAATAGTCGGGACACCAACCCGATTATAGCGTTCGCTCTTGTTAAATATGTAAATATCTTAACTATCTTTATAAAAAACTATCGCTCACTGTTTTGGAGATATCGGCTTTCTATTGCACTTATCCTTTTGTTACCCTGACAACAGGTGAATTAAATAAACTGTTTGTTCGTTAGCACATATTAGGCAGATATTTTGTTATTTGAATCAGTTCTTTAAATTTTTTTTATTTATAAACTAAATTTTATTATGGAGGTACTTGAAGAAGGAAATTTAATGGATAGAGTGCCGATTTTATTACAACGCGATCTAGAGTTTTACCAGGTAAAACCCAGTTAGGTTTCCTCTGTCGGCAATTACATAACTCATCTCCAATAAACAGACACATCAAAGGGTGCTTCAGGAACCAATTTGCTCTGGAGTTGTAGGTGGAAAACTGGATTTCCCACGCTACGCATCCTTTGCAGCCATTAAATTAATAAGATGGTAGGTATTCCAAGTTGTTATGAATCATGATTTAAGTTTTGTTCCTTTCCCTGGAAATAAGTTTTTAAGCCGCTGCTTAAGCTGTTAAAGACCACTTTAACAACAGGTCTTATCGACAGTCTGTTAAATATTACCTATAACCTTTAAAAGTTGAAAAAGACGTGAGGAAGTCAGTAAGATGCAACGGGTTTCACTTTAGCAAATATCTGTCTCATTTGTCGGACCTGGCATAGTCGTTTAAATAAAACTAGATAATTTCTTACATATATGTTATGGTAAAAAAACATAAAGATATCTCATTCCAAAGGTATGAAAATGTTTAATGTTAAATAAAATAAGTTTTCTATGCCATTGTGTCCTGGATGAGCCAAAAAGTTCCATGAAAGTCTGACCTTCGGAACTAGAATCTATTTACACAGGTGGGAAGATGAGTACTTTGCCTCTTATCGAAAGCCCTCTGGACTTTTGCACACCGAAAAGGAAATGAATGAAGGAGATTTTGTAAGATATTATTTATAACATTCAATAGTTGTTAAATCAAAAGATTTGCTTTCCCTAGACAAATGTAACCGTAAAGACTTCCGACCCGGATAAGTTCGTGCAGCTGGTCACCAAATCCGCTGATTTACTACTGGAGCACGTTCATCGGCTGTCTCAGGAGTCCTTGGATCATGCCGATTTATCTGTCCTTACTGCCACTATTGGAGCTGCTTCACTGGTCAAGAATTCCCTCAGTGTTTATATGCAAGCAGCAACCACAACTATATGTCCCCCAAAAGGCGATGAAAAGGGAGGAGCTCTTAAGCTCAGTTTCAAGCAATATTCCCAGATGTCAGAAGCTTTGGCCGAACGACTCCTGGATCTCCACTGCCGATTGCTTTTACTCTATATAATGCAAGATGCCGATTGTCTGCATTGGGAGGATACCCAACCGTTCTTCGAGTCGGAAAGAGGTTCCTATACCGTTCAGATGTGGTGGCACTATATGAGGGGCTCCAAAACCGACTTGTGGAATTCGGTGCCACCAAAAATGGCTCAAAAGATATTCGCCGGAATGCTGAACGAAACGCTGAGTGTACTGACTGTACGATATACCCAGATAGTAACGAGTGTGGCTAGATCCACGCTCCATCTGGTGGATATTTGCAATATGTTACTCTGCATAGCCGAACTATTGCCCCATATTTGTGAGAGTGGTGAGGCTTATGTGGGATTGCAGCTCAGTAACCAGAGTGTTATTATAAGGGATATACACGCCAAGTGCAGGGAGCTCTTCTACTGTCTCCTCCTCAGGGGGTCACCAGTAGGTGTTCTTTCGAAGGTAGGAAATTTAAATTTAAATAATTCGATATAAATACATCTCCAGACGAGTCGATCTAGCCATGTCCGTCAGTCCGTCTGTCTGTCTATCTGTCCGTATGAACGATAAGATCTCGAAAACTAAAAAAGCTAGAAAGTTGATTAAACTGATTAATCACACATATTCTTCGGCTTCCTACGCAGCGCATTTCGGTTTCAACGCCATCTCTCCATCTCCCTCGCACTCCCGTTTGCTGCGTAACGGGTATCTAATAGTCGAAAAAGGTCCCCTTTTTTTATACGTTATGATAGATAACATTAATTTATTCAAAGCTAAATCAAATTTATATGCTTTTGCTACGATATTTAATAAATTCCTTTCATCAGATATAAATACTAGTTTAGTAAGTGAGTGTCTTACATTTGGTTAGTTTTGTGTTTGAACCAAATATGTATTATTTTTTTTAGGTTTTTCGAAAGGGCTTGGACAACATGGAAATGTTTAGCTCTCGTCACGGATTACCAAGTGCCTGGATTATTTTCGCTCTTCCCAGATATTTTCCCAAGGAGCAGTCCTGTCAGTGGGTCACCGAGTTCTCCGATCTTTCCACCAACACGGCTATTTCCTTGGACTTGAGGGTTTTACTTGCCTTTCCCGAGGCAGATTGGTCGTACCTGTTGAAGATTCTATTGATGAGAGATGCCTTTCTCACGGGAATTATAATGCGCCATCTGATGCAGTATTTACCCTCTTCGGAAAACTTTAAAAACGTAGCAAAGATTTCGTTTACCTGCGCAGAGGGTGCCCCTCAAAAATGCGAGGCTTTCTTGTGTCGCGGCGAGTGCTTCAATGTCACCGATTCTATAGCTGGGGATATAGGTGAGACAATTATAAAGTTTAGAACCTATTTAAAAATTTTAAATGAGAATATCTAATATTTTCTATGGGTTTGTATTACTTATTTGAACAGATCCCGTGGGTCAATCTAACTATCAGATAGTCCTATCACTTACTTATTTAGTGGTAGCTGTTGGCAAGGCGGTGGATATTAGGTCCTGTCTGATCAAAACCCTGGAGGAACACGCGATCGCTGGCTGGAGCGATTGCCTAGACAAAAGACAGGTGTGGAACCAAAAGCGAACTCCCTGGCTGGAAGCCATCATGCACTTTGTATATCCTGTTCTCGACTGTGTGGTGGATATGTTGGTTAATGCCGTGGAAAATGGAGCGAGCATGTATCAGGCCATGTCTTTGGCTCTAACCTGCGTCTCTGAGATCTGGGACTGCCTTCCCGAGGGGCTGTACAAAATAGCCTCCTTGCTTCAGGATATCATACCGGTTTCGACAAGGCCTTTGGGGGATTCCGTTCTATTGCAGGTGGTATTTGCAGCCCTCTATACAGAACTGATTAAAACAGCGGAGGTGTATGAACAAGGTGAGTTAATATTTTCTTTTTTATGATACAATATTTATGGTAAAAAATGGTAAAAATCGTAAATAATTTTTTGATTGCCTCTGAACATTTAAATATTTTCAGCTAAAAACGAGGAAAAGGCTGCCATATGTTATTCGATATCGGAGGCCATTTGCTCAATTGACGAGGACGACAAGCACACGGATCAAATCGAATTGTTTCTTAAACAGGCCAAGGAGAGTATTAATTTGGACACGGATTTTGGAGGAACAGCGGGTAGCAATAATCGGGGGGCCGGAGGAATGAGTGCTGTAAGTACCATCAAAATGGATGACTTGGCCTTGACAAATGCAGAATCGGATCGCCTAAGCCACAGTCCACCGAACAATTATGCCATGGAGCTGGATGTGGGTATCGCAGATTATATAGCCGAAGTCCTAGTCAGCGATGTTTTGACCACAAATATTGGAAAACAGGCTCTAAAAGTGGTTTATAACTATTTGAAATTCAACAAAGACTGGTTGCTTGAACAGCTGGGGACGAGTGACAATGATCCGAGTCCTTTTCAAGGCATTCAGGGTCAGAACATCAAGGAGGCCAAGACCTCTGTTCTAAGGTCCATGTTTTTCATTGGGAATACACCATTCGACCAGCTGCTCACTGGCTCTTTGAAAATAGACTACGTTAGTTGGCTGCAGATGCCGTTGTCTTTGAATCCGGAAAGGACCTGGTTGCATTTAACCAGACGCTGCGACTTCCAAGAGGATGCCAAGCTGTCTCTGCCCGAGGTGGCTATGGTGGCCGGGATTACCAAGATAATGAAGCGGCGCAAGGAGTTTCCCAAGTGAGCCACGCGGGAAGTATCATGCACTCAGAAAAATATAGTGAAATAGACTTTAGGAGAATATAAGTAGTCAGTAGTAGTTTTCTTAAAACGCTTAAAATGATCAGAATAGGTCGAGAAGTACCTTGTATAGCTGTTAAAATATATCAAATAAAATCACGGAAAAAATAAGAATAACCAATACACTTATTTTCAAAATAATATAGCCGAGTTACTAAACAGATTTTCAAGAAGAATATCTTTTTTAAATTAAATTTAAATTTAAAAGTTTTTGGTTTTGGAAAAATGTAATGATACATTTTTGTTAATTCTATTAAGCAATATTTGAAAAGGCCTGACAAAAAAAATCGTATCTTTTATATCTTCGATGTCTGTATATCTATATATTTTAACAGGAACATTGTTCCTGGAACATACAAACTGAACCCCTTAAACAAAGTAATTAAAAAATTGATAAAGCTTACACAGCTTGGTTATATTAATAAAATGTATTTTATTTCAGTCCAAAGTTTTTTATTTCAGTCCAGAAACTTTTGTTTTTACCTTTAAGAAAAATATATTTTAATTACATTTAAGGTCCCGAGGTTCCGAGGACGACCTTTATAATTTTTTATTCCAACTGAGAAATTTAAGGAAATTACATTTTCTGAGTGTGAGGCAGCGGTGAATTATGTCGTAGATGGTGGCGACAGCGGAGGGATTCATCGGGGGCGGCCTCCCACTTTGGATGTCATTAACGCCGCATAATGCAAACAAGTCTGACGATAGGCACCTTAGCAAATGCACAGCACAATAAGCAGAGGGGCTAAAAAAATATTTACTCGAGCTCCCCCTTGAATTTTGCCCCGTTTAATATATGAGGTTGAGGGCGGTGTGGCTGCCGAAAATGTTTTTGTCCATATTCTGCGTACTCGCCTGGCACTTGGCAATTGCTCAGCTTTGCTTCTGGTCGCCTTTTGAGCTTCTTTTCGCCTCCTGCCACTCCGCTTCTCATTCAGCCAGTTATGAAAATTACTGAAACGTGGCCAAGGGCGGGTGAGGGTGCTGGGCAGGACTAGCAGGACGAGAGCACGCACACACAGGACGACACCAGCAGTACCAAGAACATGTCGGCATCACACACAGGACAACGTGACAAATAAAATCAAGCTAGCATTGGTAACAAGACCTGCAGGACTTTAAAGACTAGGTTAATGCGCTACGCTGCGTTCAGTGATCGCTGCCAGGATGTATTTGAAATTAAAATCTTAGAACACTTCTTTTAATTTAAATAATTTGCCTGATTACACTATGCAGCATCAAAAATTAACCTCGATAAATGCTATATTTTTGGATTCGTTACGAATTCCCAAGTTAAACTGCGTTTTCCAAAGAGTTCCCCGACGCAAGGATTCTTAGCAAAAGGACCTCAAAGTTCGAAAAATGCTGAAATTGGCCAACTTTGCGGAGCTCTCAGAGGCAAATGGATGCATGGCTTGGTTTGAAGTTAAAGTTTTTAAAAGATACACCCTTTATCTTTCAAACCCCATACATAAAATAATTTTAGGATTTTTTTTAAGGCAGAAATAAATTTCAAAAAACATAGTCAAAAAACTGAAAAACATACAGCTGCGGTCAAAATAGTAGTAGTGTCGCCGCCTTGTGTATTTTAAAAGTTTGATGTTGTAATTTTTTCTTATCCAATTAGTCTAATAGGAAAATTATAATCAATACAATATTACCAGGAAAAGATCAATTACAACAACAAACTTTTAAATACACAGGGCGGCAACACTACTATCATTTTGACCGCAGCTGTATACTTTTATGTTTTTTGACTATGTTTTCTAGAACTTGTTTCTGCCTTAAAAAAAATCTTAAAAATTTTGTAAGTATGGGGTTTAAAAGATAAAGAGTGTATCTTTTATAAAACTTTAGCATCTAACCAAACCATGAATCCGTTTGCCTCTGAGAGCTTTAGAAAGTTGGCCAATTTCTGAATTTTTCGAACTTTGAGGTCCTTTTGCTAAGAATCCTTGCGTCGGGGAACTTTTTGGAAAACGCAGTTTAACTTGGGAATTCGTAACGAATCCAAAAATATAGCATCCATCGAGGTAAATTTAAAAAGCACTAAAAATGCTGCACAGTGTTATCTCTGTAAATTCACTAAATTTGAACACCAACATATTATAAAAAAGCACTAAACTACATATATGCAAGCAAGTACACCGAGAATATTAATATATTTTGATCAACAAAACAGCAAAATTGTAAAAAATTATCCGCAAATAAATATAGTTTTTATAGTTTTCATAGTAGGTACATTTAGAGAATGGGAATAATAAATAAATAAAATGTACAAAAAAAAAGAATATAACTGTTAAAAACGTACGTTTAGGTCTACATAAAAAATATAAATACCAAAGCAATATTTCTAAGTTAAAAATCTACGGAAATTCAATACAAAATTAAAAATTTTTAAGAATGATTTGAATTACTAACAATATTAAATAGTTGCGGTTTCCATAAATCTTAGTTTAAAAAAATAGATTTTTTGCGAAAAACATTTAAAAAGAAATAATCACGAGTGTCCTCTCGTAACAAATCAACTTAGCAGTTTCATATGCAGCGCCGCCCCATTGGCTGGCATTTGGCTACAAAGTCAGTGGCAGTAGAAAAAGCAGCCTCAGCGGCGACTCTGGATCCTGACTCCGAAAATAGAAACGATTGCTTTCGTCCTTTCATTCAGTTTCATTCAGTTGTCGCTGCTGGAAGCGTGCGGACGTCCGTTGTTTACAGCACGGTTATAAAGTCAAGTGGCAAAGTGGCACTTTACAAAAAATACAACAAAATTTAACAGAAAAAAAAGGAAAAATTTAAACCAAAACAAGAGGGAACGCTATAGTCGGGTGCCCCGACTATCAGATACCCGTTACTTAGCTAAAGGGAATGCGAAGGAGATGGAGATAAAAGCTTTGATCCGCCGTAACTTTTTAACGAATGGTCCGATTTAAAAAATTTCTTCTACATTTCGATAGGTATTGATAAACACAACAAAACTGCATTTTTACTTTTCCTAAATATTGAAATTTTTAAAATCGTATATAAGCGATTGTGGGCGTTAGAGGGGGCGTGGCACCCTTTTGAAACAAACTTACGCTGCGTAGGTACTCCTAGAATCTGCATGCAAAATGTCAATCTTCTAGCTTTTATAGTTTCCGAGATCTCAGCGTTCATACAGACAGACAGACAGACAGACAGACAGACAGACAGACAGACAGACAGACGGACAGACAGACGGACAGACGGACATGGCTAGATCGACTCGGCTAGTGATCCTGATCAAGAATATATATAGTTTATAGGGTCGGAAACGCTTCCTTCTACCTGTTACATACTTTTGCACGAATCTAATATACCCTTTTACTCTACGAGTAACGGGTATAAAAACATACAGAGGACGCACAACGTGCGGGGGTAAAGTGCAAATGGTAACGGTAATTTGCAGACATTAGTTGTCCCACAAACACATTCACAAACAGAGCGGGACCGGTGATTAAATGCCGTGGAAGGAGAGGTGCGAAAAGTGTCACATTACGCATACGCAGCGTAGCCCGAGTTAAATGCTGAAACTTAAAAGCACAACGAGCTGTTCGAGTTGGAATTGAAAATGTTTGTCGCAACGTTATTCGACCATTTAGTATGCCAAGCACGTAGCGGATTTTTGTGATGTGGATACGGTTCTTTGATTGTTTTATTAGCGATTCCTTTGGACAGAAACTAAACTGCCAGTTTCAAATACAAATATTTGGAGAAATGTATAACTTTTTTTAAATTATTTTTTATTAAAAAAGGCAAATTATTTTTAACGAAGTTTAATATAAAACACCAACTTTGAATTTTAGGTCATATTTCGTAAACGTAAATATTCTTAATGTAAATATAAAGTAAATAATTAATTAAAAATCAATATTTTATAGAGCCAAAACATAAAAAAATATATAGTGTTATTGCTTGGCATATTGATTTCAAAAATAACAACTTTCGGGCTGTAAATTAACACAACACAAGCTAGCTATGAGTCAAATGCAACTGCCAACGCAACGCGTTCTCCGAGGACGAGGACGTCACCATCACCGTAATCAGTCCGCAGAGCCGTGCGAGTGTTTACGTCCTGTGATAAGAGTTTTTGGTCTGCTGACTTCATTCGGTAAGCTCAAGTGCCCGGAAATCTATGCTAGTGAAATAAAATTTCTCACTACCCATGTGACCTCCCGTCTCGAGATAATGCCAATCATGATATGGGGTTATGGTGCATGGGAATGAATATGTGTATGAATGCATACGCACAGCTTTTGTGGCCCTTTTCGGAATGTTTACCCTTGACAAATCGAAGAAAATGCTTGTGCATTGAAACCGTAGCCTTAGGATTTGTCGAGTGCTGTGGCTTATTATATTTCTTGGCACTGAATGGGAACTGTACGGCTAAGATCTGAATAGGGACCTGTTCTTATTGGCTCCTTTTATTGCTCCTTTCAATACAAATTATTCCTTGGTTTTTTTTCGTAAGCAAAAGTTATTGAATTGTTTGGATAGACCGAGGAAAATAAATGTAACTTAAAGGCAGTAAAAACATAAATATTATGAAGGTTAGATACTATATTAAACTTTTGCTCACGTAGTTATCCTCAACAATTTGATTTCTATGTAAATGCTCGTTTGCATAAGTCAATAAATTCGGATGCAATTAAAGTTTTAGTTTGGTTTAAAATTGCATTCTGTGGAATATTCATTTGCATATATTTCATCGTGAATTTCATACAATTTAATTATTCTTTGTAGCCAGCTTGTGATTTCCTTTCTCTTGTTAAATTGAGATAATAGTTTTTGTAATTCAAGCTGGATTATGAATGCCAATATAATTTGATATTGTACAAAGTATAAAAGAGTAAATGCATTAACAACACAAATTTATGTGCATTAGCTGCATTTTTACAATTTAAATATTTTTATAATTTAACTACACCTCAAACTGAGGAAAACCAAAAAAAACTTTTCATCGAAATTTTGTGGCCATCTGCGGCAGTTATCAAAGTTGGCTTAAACGCTTATCACGGCCAATCATAACGATTTTTCAGCACCATCTGACATTTCCCTAATGCGCTTAAAATAGTGCACCCTCGTTTTTTTAGAATTTGATAAATTGCCCGGCTGCAGCATAACAAAAACTTTGGGTCAAGTTCAAACTAATTTCTTTGCAAATTGTTTGGGGTCTATTATACATGCAGTGGCACGCAGAAAAACAAAGTATAACATCTTGATTTAGTTCAAAAGTCCCGAAGAATGCAGGAGAAAGGAGGGGTTTCCAAGGAAATTCTCTGTCAGAGCCATTAACAAGGCATTGGCCTCTATGCAGCTTGCAGCTTGCAGCTCACATCTCGCATCCTGTGCCAAGAGCAGAGTTTCCCGCGTCCCGATTTTCCCCTTATCAGCAACTTTTCCATACGGTCGACAATGAGCTTTGTTGTTAGCCTTTTGGCGCCAGCCATTCGCCAAGTTTTCCTTCTTCCCCGGTGTCTATTTTCCCTCCATCGCTTTCAATTATCCAGATAATTTTTGCATGTTTTTTCGATTTCCGCTTTTTCGGTTTTTTCCGTTGACAGCATTTAATGTAATTGGTTTGGTTTTGGTTCTATAGTTGTATTTAAATGTGGGGCATATATATATCTAACTGGCTTAATCAGATTGGTTTTTCGCGGCTCGGCATAATAAAAACAACTTAATTAGATTGGGTATTTATCCGGGAAATGGGCGTGGGGTTTCCTTTGGGTCATATCTTACACATTGGAAGTGGATTTCGTTGAGACAAAATGGGAGACCGGACCCATAATGTGGTTAGAATATGAATATTTAAGGGGGTTGTTTGACAAATATTCCGAAGAGTGGTAAGAAACCCATAATGTGGTTAGAATATGAATATTTAAGGGGGTTGTTTGACAAATATTCCGAAGAGTGGTAAAAAATGTTGTCAAATTGTACACAGAAAAATAATAATCGAAAAACATAGAACGTTTGTTCATAGGAATAAGTCAATACCGATTGTTTTTAACTTTATGCACAATGATTTTAATTCAAAACAAGAGAGAACGCTATAGTCGGGTGGGTGTCCCGACTATCTAATACCCGTCACTCAGCTAAAAGGAGTGAGAACGCTGTACTCGGGTTGGTGTCCCGACTATCTAATAATCGTAACTCAGCTAAAGGGAGTGCGAGGGAGATAGATATATAAACAATTTTGATTGCGTATAACTTTTTAATGAATGGTCCGATTTGAAAAATGTCCTCTACATTTCGATAGGTATATATATACACAACAAAATTGCATTTATACTTCGCGGAAATCTTTAAAGATGTGGCGCAGGACACATTTTAAAATCGTTAGTGGGCGATTGTGGGCGTTAGAAAGGGCGTGGCGCTCGGCTGAAATAAACTTGCGCTGCGTAGGAAGCCCAAGAATATATGTGGGAAATCTCAACCTTCTAGCTTTTGTAGTTTCCGAGATCTCAGCGGACGAGCTCCACGCCCCCTCTAACGCCCACAATCGCCCACTAACAATTTTAAAATGTGTCTGGCGCCCACACCTTTAAAGATTTCCGAGAAGTATAAATGCAATTTTGTTGTGTATACTTATACCTATCGAAATGTAAAAGACATTTTTCAAATCGGACCATTAATAAAAAGTTATACGCAATCATAAAAATGGTATATATCCATCTCCCTCGCACTCTCTTTAGCCGAGTGACGGGTATTAGATAGTCGGGACAACAACCCGACTCTGTGTACCCTTATAAAAATGTTGTCTTAATTTTAAAAAGTTTTTTTCCTAATGTTAGCTTAGTTATTATAATAATTGCTTTTATTTAGTTTTTCTTAGGCAATCTTATATATAGACTTTGCCAACATAACACAAAGGATAATTCCGAAAAACTATTGATGTCTTCTCCGCGGCACAAGCTTTTAAGGCAAACATATTCCGATTTCGCGCTTTTAAGAAATCGTGATTCCCATCGTATAAACATAGTAATTAACTGCTAGGCTAGGTACATAAAGTAAATAAATAAATAAATTGTGGGTTAAAGTGGGCGTGTATAACAGGTATAAAACTGTTAAGAATTTTTGAGCAAAAACACAAATTATTTCACATTTTAAATCTCCATTAAATATTTCAACAGAATTCGCAATTTTAAATCTGTGGTTGGATGAACTTCCGCAAAACCCAATTCTATTTTTGTACCGAGCGATAAAGATATCTTGAACACTAAAAGTGGGACTTATTGAAAATTATTTAAAGAAAAATAGCTTAGAAAGAGTTAGAAGTATAACCGAAAATATATTTTACCTTGGGGTAAAATCTCAATGTTTTAGGTTAGCTCAAATAATTTTATGGGGTCTTGACAAAGTTCTTATTCCACCCTCGTTTCTTTTTATTGGTTTTGTATAACATTTTATGGCCCAAGCGTGGTAAACAAAAGAGCTCCAACTCAATAAATATGCTTATAAATATATTTGCCCAGACAAATCGCATTATTTTATAGGCTCGTTTACGGATAACATTCCTTGTTCGAACCCGCAGACAAGGACCCTTTACACAAACTTTCTTAAGTCATTTTTCATTTCAGTCATCTGCGGCGTCGGCGTTGATGTCTACATGCATGGATATCAGGCCGGTCTTTATATAATGTAGGCCAATGATCTAATATCCCCAAGAAATATAATAATGTCTGGTTAGTTTTTCAGCCGTGCTGGTTATGTTTGTTGAGATCAAATGGCTCTTAACTATTTTTCTGCAACTTCAGTGCTCAGAGTGGGTATTTTTATTTTTGATACCATTGTTTTAAGAGTCTTTCACCTAATATTTAACTATCTTAAGCAATAAAATCCCTCAAGAAAAAAAGTTAATGGTAGTTTCTCGTAGTTCCGCTAGATCACATAAAAAAAGATGTACAAACAATATTTTGGTATGTTTTTTTATTTTTATTCAGATTTCAAGTTGCGCATAACCAATTTATTCGGCAAAATTAAAGTTTTATTATACTTCAAAATATAAATATGTATCACCTAAATTGGTTAGGCGCAACACAAGATATAAATAAAAACACGAATATCACATAACAAATTTTTTAGTGGTCCAACTCTACCAGAAACTAGCATTCTCCTTCTTTGTATGTATATTATCAAAAAATTATTTTTTAAACTAGAATATAAATTATATTTTTCCTTCAAATTATTTTTACAGATTATATCTATAAATTAATAACGTTTCATCCAAAAAGCTTTTAGGAAAAAGATACCCTCATCAAGGGTTTTAAAATATAAGAGCTCCACTTTTTGACAAGCTTGCGTAAAAATGTTTATAATGTAAATTGGCTACCCCAAATATGTCTACAAGCGACTAAACATATCAATAATTATTTATGGATTCAATTTGTTACAGGGATAATTACCAGCGGAGATACTGCAGCTGCTTGGCCTGCTGGCGACTTTCAGCGATTTGTGGCGGGTGGCGACCCACTCCTGTTTATGCGGTCATCGGCATCTGCCTGATACTATATCCCCACAATCTGTGGCTTAGTTATGTGGCCGGAATGTTCCTGATACTTCTTGGGGTCCTTAGGCTCTGCACATTGCTCAGATTCAGCCCGTCAAAGGAAGAGGGACTTCTGCCGCAGTGCGACTTTGAAAAGTGATGGCAGACAACGAATATCTCTATTATTTGTTTTTAATGTTTGTTTGTTTTGTGTTGATAGGGTCTCCAGTTTTATGGATAATATGGAGGACGATTTTGCGGAGGTTAGTGCCTCGCAAGCGGCCTTGGATGACGAAGCGGAGGAGGAGGGCGACGACCCCCCTGTCATAGATGATGATGTTTGCTAATAGTTTAAGAGATAGCTTACTTGCCTGATGTTATGTGAGATTTTAAATTATTTAACAAACATTTACTTACAAAGAGGTTTCAATTGAAAAATATGTGCAATATGTTTTTCTGTTCTGGGAATCCAAGTGTGTGTTTGATACACCATAAAATGGAAAATATTCTACTGAATTGGTAATAGCAATAAAATCCTAACTTTTTTTCTTGTCTTGTACGTAGTAGAACTGTAACACTACCAATAGTAACAAAAAACCTTTGTTTGACAGCATTTCAGTCTTTGGTTTTGATATTATCGACTAGTCGTTTTTGATATTAGAAGAAAAGATGGTAATACTCTAGTTTACGGTCCTCACCCTCAAAATTCGCGAAAAAGTTATCCTCGACGGACCGCGAATTCTTAACAATTTACATGAAGAAATGAAGGCGCGGACTGCCATGGTTCACTTGTAACCGAATTTTAAAGTAGCGTGATTTGCTATAAAATTACAGTTGGCTTTTCTACGACCTGCTATAAAAACCATTTTCATAAGTTGTCAAAATAAAGTTAATTTTTTGGCCAAAAATCTGTAATTTCTTTCCTAGGACAGTTCTTAAAAGATTGAACTTTTCAACTAATTAAAAGTAAAATTTATTGGAATTTTATATAATATAGATAATTCAAACCAAAGTCGGGAAATTTTACGTACTTGTCGGTTTGTTATTTCTAAAAAATTCAATCCATTTTGATTCTACGTTCATCAAACAATCGATTTAAAAACAAGAGAGAACGCTATAGTCGGGTTGGTGTCCCGACTATCTAATACCCGTCACTCAGCTAAAGGAAGTGCGAACGCGGGTTGGTGTCCCGACTAATAATCGTAACTCAGCTAAAGGGAGTGCGAGGGAGATAGATATATGTAGATATTTTGATTGCGTATAACTTTTTAATGAATGGTCCGATTTGAAAAATGTCTTCTACATTTCGATAGGTATAAATATACACAACAAAATTGCATTTATACTTCTCGGAAATCTTTGTGGGCGCAGGACCAATTTTAAAATCGTTAGTGGGCGATTGTGGGCGTTAGAGGGGGCGTGGCGCTCGGTTAAAATAAACTTGCGCTGTGTAGGAAGCCAAAGAATATGTGTGGAAAATCTCAACCTTCAAGTTTTTATAGTTTCCGAGATCTCAGCGTTCATACAGACAGACAGACGGACAGACAGACGGACAGACAGACGGACAGACAGACAGACGGACAGACGGAGAGACGGACAGACGGACATGGCTAGATCGACTCGGCTAGTGATCCCGATCAAGAATATATATAGTTTATAGAGTCGGAAACGCTTCCTTCTACCTGTTACATACTTTTGCACGAATCTAATATACCCTTTTACTCTACGAGTAACGGGTATAACAAGAGAGAACGCTATAGTCGGGTTCGTGTCCCGACTATCTAATACCCGTCACTCGGCTAAAGGGAGCGCGAGGGAGATGGATACATAACCTTTTTTGATTGCGCATAACTTTTTAATTAATGGTCTGATTTGAAAATATCTTCTACGTTTTAAAAGGTATAAATGTACACAACAAAATTGCATTGCAACTTCTCGGAAATCTTTAAAGGTGTGGGCGCCAGATTTTACAATCGTTAGTGGGCGATTGTGGGCGTTAGAGGGGGCGTGGCGCTTGGCTGAAATAAACTGGCGCTGCGTAGGAAGCCCAAGAATATGTGTAGAAAATCTCAACCTTCTAGGTTTTGTAGTTTCCGAGATCTCAGAATCTCAGATCTCAGATCTCTCAAAATATTTGTTTTTTAAGTTAGTAACTTTTATTTTTTGCGTTTATGCCAAAAAATTGGACTTTTCCCCCAGTGTGCAGTGGACAATTTCATTACAAACATTTCTGTAAAAGCAGCAAGATGATCGAACCATTACTTTTTGAGATAAACGATCCGCATCAGAAAGCAACATGGTTTCGAGACGAACACATTTAAAGTAATGAAATGTATCTACTCCACAAGGAAGGTGGGTGTCGACATCCTGGTATAAGTTCCAAAATAGTTCAAATTTCTTTGTGAAACTTTCATAAAACATTTTTAAAGATTGAGAAATAAAAAAAATTGCATTGCACTGTCGAAATTTGCCGTCCCTGAAAATGACAAATCCGCCACTGATGGCAAAGTTAAGCTCTAATCTATTGTCCTTAAAACAAATACTGGCGTAATTGTGTGGATATGAACCGACAAATTAGAAGAAATAAAACAAAAATAACAAGAAAGGAAGCTACCTTCGGCCAGCCGAAGCTTATATACCCTTGTAGATAAAAGAATGCTCACTCGGTGCAGTTCCAGGGATTCCAGATTCAGCGTTTCTATTTATTTAAATTTTGTTTTTAAGTAGTCAAGAATCAAAACGCCTACTTCCTACAAAGTTACAATGAATTTTCTTAAATTTGTTTGAATATTCCTATGGGAGCCTTAAGATAAAGTGGTCCGATCCGGCTCTCTCCGACATATGTACTACCTGCAATAGAAAGAAGGCTTTCGGGAAAGTTTCATCGCGATAGCTTTAAAACTGAGAGACTAGTTCGCATAGAAACGGACAGACGGACAGACGGACAGACAGACAGACGGACAGACGGACAGACGGACATGGCTAGATAGACTCGGCTATTGGTGCTGATCAAGAATATATATACTTTATGTGGTCGGAAACGTCTCCTTCACTGCGTTGCAAACATCTGAGTGAAATTATAATACCCTCTACAAGGGTATAAAAATAGCTATTCATTACTCAGCTAACGAACTTTAAAACAAGAATAAACGTGGGCGCTAGCCTTAAAGGGCGTTTGTGGGCGTGGCAAACTTTAAGGTCAATCGATGTGTATTTCGCGGTTTGTGGGCGTTAGAGAGGGCGGGTATTTAATGTCATTCGAACGGTATTGAAGACACAAATATATTTCAGCTAAAATTTGTAATATAGCTTTAATTCGGGGGCGCCACAGCTTTTATCGGTTGGACGTGGCATATTAGCATGATAAACTTGCGCTAAATGGAAACTCTCTAGCTCCGGGATCTCAGCACTCACACGGACAGACGGACGGCTAGTGATCCTGATCATGAATGTATGTATACATTTTATAGGGTCGCTTTCTTTTACTTGTTACATACTATTGCACGAATACAATATCCTTTATTCTAAGGTCCGTTGTTAAATTTAAAGTAGGGGTAAAAGGAGTTTAAAGCTTTCTTTAAATTTAACAACTGGACGAGAAAACGGCCCTAAGAGTAAAGTGTATATATAATGGCTCAAGATCAATAGCCGAGTCGATCAAGCCGTATCTGTCTGTCTGTATAAAAGCTAAGATCACGGAAATTTTAAAAGCTTGAAAGTTTGTATTTATCGTGGAGGTTCTAGGGGCGCTGCGCAATTTCGTTACAAGACCAAATCTAAAAATCTCTTTCTCCCAGAAAAACTTCCAACAAAAATTAGTTTGTTTATCAATAGTTTTATTTTTAGTTGCGTCTTTTATTCAATCTTGTTGTCAACGGATTTCTGTGCTGACTAAAGGCTAGGACGAATGGTTGATTTCTAAACTGATCGTCTTCAATGAGACTGAAGGCCCGCTCATTGCCGTATTCATTGTCCTCCTCATCATAGTACTGATCGTAGTACCTATGATGTCCACCTGGGCCACCTCCATGGCCTCCATGTCCGTGGCCAGATGACGGGGGAGGAGGTGGAGGCGGGGGATACGGATATGGCGGGTACGAACCTCCAGGATATCCAGGTGGACCTTGGGGACCAGGCAATCCTGGCATTCCAGGGTAGCCCTTATCTCCCCGAGGTCCCTTCTCTCCTGTATCTCCCTTGGATCCCTTTGTTCCAGGATAGCCCTTCTGTCCCGGTTGTCCCGGAGGACCAGGAGGTCCAGGAGGTCCTGGTGGACAATGACAGTGCTGCGGCTGAGGCTGCGGATATGGATAACTCTGTGGATAAGCCGGCGGATGATGATGATGGTGATCGTAGTCCTCTTCTATGATTACTTCCTGAGGCGGAGGAGCTGGAGCGGGACTGCCGGCTTGAAGTGTGATAAGCCGAGGCACTGAGGCATCATCCTTGGCCTCAACACCCCCAAAAACAGACAGAATTGCTACCGCCAAAACAATCCAGTTCGAAAAGCGAACTTCCACAGGCGACGTCATGCTGTAAACTAACAAAAATCAGATCATTGTGACTTCTTTTATAAGGCTGAAGAATGGCAATAAAGAAGAACCATTCAAACTACCGTTAAAATAGCTCATTTGAGATTTATACGTCTTGTCGAACGATCATCTTATTTGTATCTTATGCAAATTCCTCTTGTTTAATAAACTAAGCCAACTATTTATAAAGTGTGCATAATTTGCATAAAAATCAATGATTGATTTGAAAGAACTTTCACACTTAATGGGTATTGGACTTTGTGATTGAGCCATGAAAAGTGAATTCTGAGCCAGCTGGAACAGCTTAATAAATAAGAAAAAAAGAAAAAATATTTAATTCTGCGAACACGACAATAAACTTTGGATAACCGTAAATGGGAGCAGAGCAATGACTTTTATTTAGAGTGATGCGGATAAGAATTTAAATACTTAATTTTCACTTACCTGTGAACATGATTATTTTTTCCGTTAAAATTATTTAATGTGCAATGCAATGTGCAAAGAATTTATTCCTGCCCCCTGATTTCGGTGCCATTTCGATGCAGAAAAGAAAACACCTTTAAGTCATGCAATATATCTCTGTTCGCATTTATTTTTTTTTGTGGGTTCATTATTATTCTTTCATTAGTGTCAAGTGGAACTCATGCTGACAAAAGCCCCGCCCACACAATTCTTAACAATGTTCTGGTTTTTGGGCAGATTTCATAACATTTTTTCGCTCATCTAGCGAAATACTCACGCTTCAGTCTAAGTCATTTGGTTTGGGGGACTTTTGTAATTTTCCTGAGGTTCCTGCTATGTTAACATACGTTTGTAAATAGTTGTAACTTTTAAAGTTCATATTTATTTGTGGTTTTGCTTTTTTGTTTTATACATGTTTGCTATGCAATAAACATATTTATTTAATTGTTATTTTATTTGAATCATATATTTTGTTTAACTATTATTTTCTCTCTTTCGTGTTTTCGGTCACAAAACCTTGAGGTAGCTGTGTTTGCAATTAATTGTTAAAAGTAGGTTTTCGCTACTTTATCCCTGATATAGGCTACTTAAGGTTTGGTTGTGGATAAGAAGAGTTCGTTTTTATTATTTCGAAATCAAGAGCATAAGTAAAAGAATAAAGCAAGAAGAAATAACTAAGTATTATATTTATTTTATTTTGTATATATATATTTATAAAATATTATGATATATATTACGCATCAACATATACATAAAAAATATTTAAATCGTTTAAATTAAAATTAAAGAATATTAAAGAAATCAAATATTAGAAGAATATCAACAATAAAGAGAAACAAAAGTTATGGTTTGCCTGTTGTGTCAGATGGTTCAAAACATGTTACCGATCGGGGTACAAAGATCTTGGGATTGTAGTATTTCCTTTGGGACTGTGAATAGTCGAAAAGGTCGCAAAAGTAAACTCGTATTGACTAGATAATGGATGTTAATTAGTTGTAGTTAACTTTTGACATGGTCTCTGTGCTCGTATAGGTCTGTGTATAAACAAAGCTTCAAAATGATCTGAGCTTATCGAATAGCTGCTGCTGAACTAACATTAAATAATTGATTTTCTCACAAAAATGATTTCTTTAAGCTTGGCAGAAACCCAATCTTAATAACCCGATCCGACTGACAGCGACTTGGAAACGGTTTCTCATGACAAGCAAACCTAGAAGCAAACTTAATAAAAATCGGAAAAAACTGAAAACAGAAGAAGACATTGAAGAAACTGATTTGATTTTTAGTTTTTTATCACTTGCTCTTCTTATAACATAGGACTAACAACTATCTTTGGGATTCATTCGAACTTTGCTGGCTTTCGTTCTTGCTCGCACTACTCTGGTTTGTTTATTTTTTTTTTGTGGCGCTCATTTAGCTGTTATAGCTTTCCTCCTCCTTCATTAACCCTTCAATCTTTTCCGTTCTATAAAAATATAAACAATGTTGGCATTCTCAAGGAAGGGTACCAAATTCGACTTTTCGTAAAGTAGGAGTGAAGTAATTTTAAGACTGTTTCAAGGCATTTTACAGGAGCTCCACTGATTTATATATTATGATGTGTTGAACCCACATCCCATATATCAGCTCTTAATATGTAAAGCACAAATTCATTTCCAGTTCTTTTTATAGCTCCCGTTGGGCCTTACAACTCAGATGTAAACGCATTAATGTTAAACAGCCATTGCATGATACCTGTCTTAAAGAATTGCCATAACATTTTTCAGCGAAAAATCGTAGCACCCTATCGTAGAGGTAGCCCAATGAAGGTAGGTATTCTGATCTGTGATTTCTGACTGGCCGATCATCTGGGACTTGGGGACTCGAATTCTCTCAGGGCGTGGACACAACATCAAGGACCGGGCAGAGTCCCAGACCTTGGTGTCGTGACTTCGGGAGGGAGGTGGATGGATGGGGGATGGATTCTTATCGGTGTGCCAGTGCCTTTAGTGCGGGCCCATCGCCACCGGTTAGTAGAAGGAGCTGCACCAGGCATCGCCCGCCGTGGGGCTTAGCATTCCGACCAGACTGGCACTGTGGCCAGAGGTTACGGGGCCAGTCGCCACGGACGGAGGCGATGCCGTCGAGCTGCCGGTGGTATGTGTCGAGCTGGGCAGACACTGGAAGCAGTAGTTGGCCCCGTAGTTGTTGTCCCAGAATTGCTGGCCCTTGCACTGAAATCGCACGGCGAACTCCAGCCTCTGGCCCACGTGCAGCGAGTTCCCGAACAGCACAAAGGTGAAGATGTCGGAGAAGCCATCGCAGGAGTTCTCCACGTAGTTGGCCTGCAAATCGGCATAGCTCCTCCACCCGTCCAGCGAGTATCTTATGTGCACCGACTTGTGAAAGTCGAGATTCCGGACGCGCACCGATCCGGATATCGTCTGGTTGATGTTGTCGGACACGGCGGCGTTCTCCAGCGACACCTGCTTCTCCCTGACGGCGTCGAGGAACTTGGGCAGCCCTCCTGGCTGCTGGAACAGAGGCATCAGTAGCTTATCGGACTTGGGACCCAGCTGCAGAGGCGGCTCCGACTCCAGTATCTCCAGGTCCTCGAACGCTGACTTCGGTATGGTGGGTATTTCGTCCAGGAAGGTCTTCACATCGGCCAGATCCAGCCCGAGAACGTCGGCGAACCTCACGATCTTCTTGCGGCCCGGAGTTCCTGGCGGGGTCTTTCCCGTCTTAAGTGAGGAACAACGCCTGATGCGCTGGGGTCTGCAATCGTCTTCGTCATCTGTGGTATCAATGCCATGACTGTGGGCACCACTCTTTTCCACAGCTTCGGTGGCATCCTGTTTGGCCTGTTCTATTTGGGCCAGGTCCACGTTTACGGTGAGATTGCTGGCCGATTTGTCCGTCTCATCCACACCACTATCCGGCGAGAGTTCCACGACTCTGGTTTCCTGAACGGTCCTGTCGGGGGAGGAGGCTTCCTCTGTGGGCGTTCTTTCAAGGGAGGATTCTGTGGGCGATTTGTAGGAGGTTTCCTCCTCGGCTCTGTCGTTGGAGGATTCCTCTTGAATCCTCTCGTTGGAGGTTTTCTCTTGGACTCTGTCGTTAGGGATCTCTTCTTGAACTCTCTCGTAGGGCATCTCTTCTTGCACCCTCTCCTGGGTGCTTTCCCTTTGAACTCTATCGTAAGGGGTTACCTCTGCGGCTCTGTCCGTAGAGGTTACCTCTTCATGTGGCACTTCTTTATGTGCTCTTTCAGTGGAGACCGCCTCTGGAGCTCTGTTCGTAGTACCAGCTACCTCCAGGACTTCCTTCAGTTCCATGTCCTCCACTTCCTCGAGATGCCCATTGCTGAGCTGCTCCATTTCGGGCTTCGTCTGTTCCTCGGTCCGCAAACTGATGCTATGTTGCTGGAGTTCACTGAGTATCTGGGCCTGTAGGAAGGCCTCGTCCTCCTGAGCAACATCCTGGCCAGACAGCTGCTCCTCCTGCACTCCATTGACCAGGCCATGCCTTCCATTTAATTGTAGGGTATTCACATACTCCTTGAGTTCCGAGGCTGGCAGCTTTTGGTCCTGGGCAGCTGCAGCTGTGGATGTGGAAGCCGAAGCCGAAGCCGAAGCCGAGGCGGAAGCATCGAAGTAGGGACCATCGGTGCTGCTGCTGTGACTGCTGGCCATTGAAGCGCAGGCATAGCCCGATTCCGCCGTTGAGTTGTGCGGCGTATTCGAGGCGGTTTCGATCAGGCGCAGGTACTCGCACTCGTCCACCGGGCTCCCCGGCGACTCCAGCTCGCAGTCGAAGTCGAAGAAGGAGTCGGACTCATGGCGAAGTGGCTGCAGATCGGTCACCGTCTGCTCCGAGTCGTGGGAATTAACCCACGTGTTCGTGCTGGTTCCATTAATGATTGGCTCATCCTCCGCATTGCCCTCACCCTCCTCGGTTGTCTGCGGGAAGAGATCCTCCATTAGATATATAATACTTCGAAAGGCAAAGACAAGAATAAACTCAGAGATAGTGCAAACGAGGTATAGTGTTTAATATTCAAGTAGTAATTGGCTGAAGGCAATGTAGATTGAAAATGGTATATTTTCCGCCGTTACTAAACTTCTCTTTAAATTATCTAAATGCCGTCGTTTTAAGCTAAATAAACATCGTTACAAAACTTTTAAAAAATTTAATGTATTGCATTATTTTTGGCAGAATGAGCTATTAAAGGTTCGAGCTATTAAAACTCGACTGTTTTTAAGTAGGGAAGAGGTCTGTAGGTTGGTACACCTTTTTTTTTTGATCTGCCATTTCGACATTCACTTCTGAAATATCACGCATTAGGTACTGATCAAAAGGTAATTCTACTTAAAAAAAAAAAAAAACAAAAAATATTTTTTTCCTATTTGAAAAAGTGGTCTGTAAGTTGGGAAACTTTTAAAAATCAATAAAACTCACACATAATGTACTTCAAACTTTTAGAAACTATTTATTTATGTTAGTTTAATCAATTTTAGTTCGTTTTAAGTTATTTCCCGTCCCTTTTTAATTAACTTAGAACAAATAGCAGTTAAAACTAAAAGGCTCTTTGAAGGATCACATTTCCCCCAATTTCAATGAAATTTACTTTGCAGAAGGCGACCTCTGACTCTGCAAAACGGGTGTCTCAACTTACACGCTCAAAGTGTCCCAACATATACAAAATGGGTTGTTTGGGAAAGAAATTAAACACTTTTTTTCTTGCTGTCAAATTAATCTAATATTTTTAATATTTGTTAACCATTTAATTACCTATGTTTTAAGCATTTTACCAAATATATTTAAACCCCTAATTAATTTTTTATGGAATTTTAAAAAAAGTGCTCAAAAATTTTTTTGGTGAAAAATGGTACACGAGTGTCACAACTTAAATCTGGCTTAAGCCTGGCTTCTAATGTTTTACTCAAATGTTTTGTTACTAAATACAACTAAAAAAAATAAAAAACATTTTTTTTTGTTGAAAAGTTTTGAAAAAATGTGGAGTCCCAACTTACAGACCGTCCCAATCTACAGAAAATTGTTTTTACACTTCAGAAAATTCTAAATAATTTTAAAGTATTAGTAGAAAAAACATTTGATATTAATTTTTGAATCCCTATACGTAGTTTGGGTACCTACTTTATTTGATTAATTTGGAATTTGAGAATTCGAATATTCACCTGAGATCCCAAGGTGCGTAGCTTGGAGGACAGACTCCGTGCGAATGCCTCGGCTCTTCCACGACATGAGGACATTCCTATGGTTGGTATGATGGAGATAATGCTGCAGGGCGGCCTGCCGTCCGGAGTACCCGTGTGTGCTAGTGGTATATCGCCGGGATCGTTCATTTACGTCACGTCAGCACACAATCGTGTCTGCTGCAACCGATCTGCGGAATATCTGCAAATATAGTACCATCGGGTAATATGACGTGAGTGATATATTGAAACGCGATGAGCAATTCTTAAGCAAACAAATAAATTCACGAGAAATGTTTTCTTCCATCACTTTCCCTTTCCGCTTTTCCCATGTTCCCGGTGGCATTTTAAAACAGCTGGGAAAATATCTTCGCCAGTATATTTGCTTTTATTATCCCCACAGCATTCATTTCTCTTTCGTTGCCTTGATTTTTATTTGATTTAGTTGGTTGTCATTCAAATTTAAATAGACTATTGAAAGAATATGTTGGTTAAATTTGTTCTGACATTTTTGTATACAGAGGTACACTAAAATATTTATAAAAACTTGCAATTAAAATTAAAGAAGATTGACATTTTGCATGCAGATTCTAGGAGTTCCTACGCAGCGCAAGTTTGTTTCAAAAGGGTGCCACGCCCCCTCTAACGCCCATAATCGCTTAGATACGACTTTAAAAATTTCAATATTTCGGAAAAGTAAAAATGCAGTTTTATTGTGTTTATCAATACCTATCGAAATGTAGAAGAAAGTTTTTAAATCGGACCATTCGTTAAAAAGTTACGGCGGATCAAAGTTTAACCCACGAGTTAAGCCAATTATCTCCATCTCCTTCGCTCTCCCTTTAGCTGAGTAACGGGTATCTGATAGTCGGGGCACCCGACTATAGCGTTCTCTCTTGTTTTAAAATTGATTTTAAACGATTTCAGAAAAAATAATATACCTAGGCTTGAAAGCCCTAAAACCGTATATTTTTGCTGCAAGTCAGGCGATGAAAACTCGTGATAGCTTGTAGCACAAACTATGTCAATGAAATCGCCCAATGAACCGTGTGACCAGAACAGATTGTTAACACCTCTTTGTTTTGATCTTGGCAGATGGCAATGTTATTGTTTTCATTTTGCAAAGGCTGCACGTGCATTACCTTTGCTCAGGTGCATAGCCAAGCCACGCCCATTAATAGATCTAATGAGAGCGAGAAGGCGATTAAGTTGGGAGAGGAAGTGCCGCCCAATTAAGACATCAGAGTTTTTATTTTCGAAATTAGATGCGCCAATCGAGCCGAGACAAAGTCAATTGGCCTTGAACTTTTCGCGGCATTTCTTTTTTGTCTATTCCGATTATCCGTCTCTTTTTCCTTTATGTACTTTTTATCTTTGGCAGCATCCATAGGAAATTTAATTAAGCAGTAAAATGAATAAAAAGAAGTATAAAGATTGAACTGAAATTTCTTCTCGCCAAATGGCGTCGACAAAGTTTTTAAATAAACAAGCGATCGCCTGACAATCGATCGATAAACGAGGTCAAAATGCCGATCCCTTAAAAATTTCCTTAAATTTAAATAAACGAATGCAGGTCTCTGTGAAGCCGCATAGTATACAGAGGTGATACCACTTTTACTTATGGCAGATATTTCATGATTCACAGACATCCCTTGCAGCTCGGTACCTTTATTCATTTTTTTTTTTGGTTGTAGATAAATTTAATATTCTTTTGGCCTTTGGCCAAGTGGCTAAATGCGTTTTGGGCGCTAATGACGTTGGGTCAACAAAAGCATTACAAAACCCAATGTATACATTAAAAATCAAAAGTGCTTTAAATTGTACTCTAAATATGTTTGACTATATTATCTGCCAAATTAAGGAAACATTTAAAATAAATTAATGCCAGAGAATAAACTAAAATAGGTCAGGAATCATTAATATTAAGTATACGCATTCATTAAAAAAGAATTCGTAATAATAATAATTCAGACAATTCTCTTATCCTATTGTATATAAATATGTTTTAAAATATTTGCTGTATAAATAACAATCGCTAATGCAGCGCCCCAAGCTCACATTTTATAAATAAAACATATGCACAGGAAAAAGAAATGAAAATAAATAAAATGAACACGAAATCTATAAATAAATATAAGACAACATACATATGTCTGTGACTTCTACTTTATGGCCAAAGTAACATTTCCGTTTTATTCTTCTTATGTCTGTTATACTATTTGCGCATCTTTCTCATTTTCAGCTTTGCGAATTAACGCTTTGCCTTGAGTGTAACGTCGTAGCTGCAAAAATGTCTTTTGCCTAAAGTACTTGACTTAAGTAGATACACGCACTGAGTCAAAAGCACCCATAAAGGCTCTTAATTGAATTAAATTGGGGGAAATGTTCGGAATTGATATTAAAGTGGACCCCCAAACGTCTCACGCAATAAAAAAGACCATTGAATTATGCTTGATTGGTTCATAGTGGACGTTTGTAAGATGAAGTCAAGGTGTTGTTGAGGTGCTAGTTCTGAACAAAAAGCTACAGCAATAGTATGAAGGAAATTCATTTTTGAATTTTAATATAAAAATTAAGTATTGTGTCAGCACGATCTATTTCGTATTTATTTAGATGTATTTTAATTTTAATTGGAAATTCCCTGAAGTAAGCAAAGTGTTCAAATGTTTACAAGCCCTTCAGGTGCTATTATTGACGGGGTGACAGACACTCTTATCGGCAGCATCTTCCAGTTGCATTTGTCATGTCAATTAGTTAGTCACTGGTCCAGAGATAGATGCGCCATTAGCTGTTCGCACCATTTAAATAGTTCGATTAGATGTTTCTAGGCCCACCGATCCGCACTATATTTTTATTGCCGGTCGCCGGCTTATCACCTGAACCACACATGATATTTGCCAGTGGCCAATGGGTGGGTGAGTGGGTGGTTTGGGCGGTTGGGAGGTTGGGTGGGGCAGCGAACGGAACACTTAATCATGCTGCTGCGGCGTCTCGATTATGAGGCGTGATAACGAATTTGCAATTTTATTTATAGCAATCAGAATTGACCCGCGAACCGCGGACGCCGCTCTCACCAAATTGCACTCTTTGTGAATTTTTCACTTACACTAGACGAAAATTATATAACCGATCGGCTCGCCACAAATGTTTTTTGGGACTTTAATAATTTCAGGTACAAAAACTCCTTGGGTGTTCGAATCAAAAGAAGCGGAGGAAACCAAAACAACCGAAAACCACTCGAACTGCACCACGTCTGCAGCGTCACGGTGTCGGGCATGCACTGACTACCCACCGATATTTTTGTTGTGTTTTTGGCATTCAGAAAATCCACTCTGATTGATAAGGCAAAATCGGAACGGATCGGATCGGATGGGATGCGATGGGATCGAATCGAAATCAAAGCGCAGCGGAGCGAAATCGCAGATCGCAGCCAAACACTGCCCTCAAGCTGATTGCACTCACCCCGCATCCGCCATCCGCATCCGCCTCCTCGGGAATCTGAATCTGTATCTGTATTTGTAACTGTGCCTTTGTATCTGCAATCGCAGTGCATCCTAAAAGGTAAGTGCAGCGCCTCTCGATTCTGCCAGACAGCCGCCTCTATAGCCAGATGCTCGTGATCAGTGACGTCGCAGCCTCGGATGTCTGTCTCGATCTTAATCTTAGCTAACTGCTCTTTCAAGTGCCCTTTTCCGACGGGGAGTATTACAAAATGCCAAGGCACTGGATTTAATTAATTCAAATGGTCCGTTCAAATAAAACACAAGTATTTTTTTCTAAACTATTTTTCAAACATTGTCTACAATTTAAGAAGACTATTTTCATATGTCACCTATTATTTAATGAACAAATATATTTAAAACTTTGGAAATGCTAAAAAAGGTAAATCAATTTTATAAAATTAAAATAATTAAAAATTAAACTAGGAAAACATTATATTGGAATAATTAAAATAAATACTAGGAGCTGCTAATTTAAATTTCAATATTATAACAATTTTTTTTAATAACCCAATAATCAGAGTATATAAAAACTTCCAAAAAAAACCTAAAACCATGATCATAAAAACTTTCCATATTTAACACATATTTATCAAATAAAAATACCTCTTAACGAGGTAAAAAACTAGTGACGATCGCACCTTCAACGTGCAAAAGTTCTGATATCAACTTTTGTGACGAAAAATGATTTTAGATGCGACTAAGTAAGTACGCTACCTAAAATTTACTCGTTCGTTTAGTAGTTTACTTTAGTAGTATAGAAGTTACGGCTTTCCGAATTTTAGCTATTTATAGCTGTTTTCCCGTTTTTTATATCGATGTGATAAACGTCATATCAAATTTTCAAAACTTAAAAAACATGTTTTGGACAAACTGACAAACAGAATTAAATTAAATTTCATTTTGGGAAGAAGAAGAAAATCTTATTTTGGCTATAACTTTTGAACGGTGCGTCGGATTTTTTTTATTTTTTTTGACTCCTCATTCGACGGGTATTTTCAATAGGAACACAATTAAAACATTGCGAGGGGGCATTTATCCCCACCGGCCCCAACAGCTCCAAAATTCAAAATTTTCACTTTGTCACTTTCACCGCTCTCTCTCCCAAGCCAATTGATTTTCATAAAGTCTTGGTATGCAATCCCTTAAGTTTTTGCAATACCTTTCGATTGGTGTATTACTCATTACGATCGGACTATCACAGCAGATTTTCAATTTTGCGGCTATATAATAGTAGTCGCCTTCGCACACTCTCCTGGTGCGCTTCGTCACTACATGGACTGCCGTCCATAGTGATACCCTTGCAGGGGGTATTATGATTTCAGTCAGAAGTTTGCAACGCAGTGAAGGAGATGTTTCCGACCCCATATATGCCATAGGAACGGTCGAAAAATTAAATGGAAATTAATGGGAAAAAAATTATATCTTTGTTGGTTTTTATTACATTCCCTTCTACTCTGGGATATGACTATTTTGAAATATTTCCAAATTTCGATTTTAATTTTTGAAAGATCGAACTACTATATCATATAGAAATTTAACATTTTTGCGATTTGTAAATTAACAGAATGATCTGCAAGGGTATATAAGCTTCGGCTTGCCGAAGCTAGCTTCCTTTCTTATTTGTTACATAATTATTTGTATTTATTTATATTTTAACTATCCTAGTCCTACAATATCATTTTATATCTAGGGACTGCCCTCAGTCACATAACGTATTTATTTTTAAATACCCATTAAATAATCCAGGTTGTTACTTAACACACATTGACCAAAACCAGGGAACTCATTTATGTTCCTGCAATAAATTGGTAAATACTGTAACATATCGCTTTAGCCATATCAACCGTGTTACCGTCAGATAAACTATCAGCGTTTAATATTCGCTGTCACTTAGGCCCCGTGGGCTTTGAAAAACCTTCCGGGGCTGGGGCTGCCCGCAGTGATTGTGGGACTATTTATTCGATATGACCTAATCAGTGGAGAGTTTTTGCATTTGAGCATGAGATTAGGTAACTAATTTGTTGGCGTTTGGATTTGGCGCCAGAATAGTATGTAATCCTGATTTAGCAGTACTTTACGACTCGAGTTAGATTGATGGATGTCAGGAGGGACCCAAGGTGATAAGATTGCTTAGCGGATCATTGAACTGTTCTACAAAGCAAATATGCTTCGGAAAGTGGTCTGAACAGGCAATTAATTAGAAATTTGAAGTATAGTGATAAGATAAGAGTTTACGAAAAATAATTCAATTTGGATAGATACAGTTTTTAACGTTTCTTAAGATGCTTTTTAAATACCACTTATATGTTAATGGTAAATTAATTTTTAATTACTAAAAAATATATATAAACAAAAAGAATTTTGAATTTTAGTAATTAGTAGGTTTATAAAAAATGAATCTTGAATGATTTTAAATTTCTTATAAGATATTAATTTGAATAACTATAACACCCGATAATTTGGTTAATTTATAAAACTAATCAATTTCATTAGAACACATTTTTACGCTGTCATTCAGGGTCGCATATATCATTAACATAAATTCTATAGGACCATTTTCCCTTTGTTGCGGACCGGCAAGTGCCGCCCGCGCATTGAAATGAGCTCAATAGATACTTGTTCCACCCATCACAAACCACAACAGCTGACTGGCCTCTTTATTTATAAATACACAAAAATTAATAATATATTATATTAATGGGAATTAGCTGAAATTTGGGAAGGCGCATGGCGCTCTTTCCACGGTATTTGAATTTTGATTCCCCGATTACCAAAGTAATCGATTTGCATTGGAACTTCCCCGCAATCAATATAATATACATGTGGCTTACACGAGCCTAGTTTAAGACGCTAATTTGCTTTCAGTAATTTTTCCATCTATTAGATACATTGCGTGCGTGTGTGAGTGCGTGTGCTCGGATGTGGGTGGTTTCTACATTCATTTTTTTTCCGCTTTTCAGCAGCGCGTGGATTTTTTTATTTATATTTGTATGACATTGCTACCGACCGAAATGTCAAAAGCAAACAAAGCCAAGCACCGTGAAAGGCAAAAAGAACTGGAAAACGCTTGCGCCGTTCTGAAAACTAAGTTACAGATACAAAGATACTTCGGGAAAAAGACACTTTCGCTTTCAACTGGCTTTCCCTTTCCTATTTTATGGTTATTGTTGGGATTTGCCCAAGTCTTGGGTTGTTCTGATTACTGTGATAACGAGATTGGGTTTGTTTTGTTTTGATTGATTTGTTTTGATTGCTAAGATAATATGATTCCAGGATATTACAAAAACTGGCCACAGAAAGGGACCAATGTATAAATTCGAAAACACTAGATTATATAATTAATATTTAAAGAGTTTTGGCAACAAATATAATTATTTTAATTTTTCAATATTAAAATAAGTCGGCGACAAAATAAGTGGAATTAGCAAGGAATTCATTTTTGAATTAAAAACATAAACTAATAAACGTAATCTATAAAGAAGATTTTCCAAATGAAATAAATGCATGTACATTATATGCAAGAACCGGCTAATCAACTGAATGCTATACTTTAGGTGGCGGTCATTAAATTGATTGTTTTAGTCTGGTATACTTTTGTTCAACCCCTGAACTTCTGCTTAATTGAACTTGTTTTGACTTTTAAGTTTATGCTACTGAGAAATGGCGAAAACTCCATGTTCAGTTCTATGAAGCCTCGACTTTAGAAGGAAAAGACAATGTCAAATGTATCTGATGGATGTATACACACGCTAATTGCAGCAGCATCATTTGTAGGTATATATTTATGAAAAGTAAAATCAGCACGCAAGTTTTTGAATAAAACACGCACTCAATTATGCCACTTGTGTATGGAATTAGTCCTAAAAATTATGATTTACCAACCTGATGTTTTATTATTAATCCAAGGCGTTCCCTTTTTGGCCTTTGCCAGTGATTTTCTCGCCCTCGTCGGCGTAGCAATAAAAAAATTGCTTGTCAAAAGTTGTGGCACAAAAATCGCCTACATATACCGATTCCAGGTATATATAGTTATTATATATGCTGGGTGGACTTTTGGTTATTGCGTGCCCTGATGTAGTTTATGTTTTGAAAGAAGTGAGTCAACGTAGGAGAAAGGTTACCGAAGGATATTCGCCATTCGAGAACTTTCACTTTTATTCGTCGCACACAAATACACAATCCGCCAGGGGGCGCTAGTTAGATAACACTTTCTTTTTGGCGATTTTTTCAGATATGTTTGCCTTTATTTTTATTAACTGGCTCTACATTTGGGAATTATGAATAAAAATATTATAATTTTGTTTTTATTCAGCACACACTCGTTTTGTTTTGGGTTAAGGCTTTGATAAGGACCCGTCGGAGGTTTTCGGCTTTAACGAAGGTACGCGAAATTGCTTTTGACTCTATTACAATTTTCACTTTTGTTCGTCGCAACGTTTTGTATGAATATCTTTGAATTTTTCTGTGCTTTTATGTGATTTTCAGCTATTGTTATTCTTATTATTAATAATATTTTTGCCAGCGCTGAGTGGCAGCCGTGGCAGCAGCGCCCGTTGGAGTGGCAACGTTGGCGACTTGGTCGCAATAAGAGTGTCATTCAAGGGCATTGCAAGGTCGCAGCAGTTGCGTCTTTCGCCCACTGGCAGCTGAGATGCGAGAGCGCCAGACGACGGCCTCTTTTCAGTTCTCCGATACACAGATACAAAGATTTTCGAGAATTATTTCGTTTTTTTTTTTCGTTTTTCGCAAAATTGGAGAGGAGAGGTGTGTTGGGTAGAGAGGGGGCTTTGTCACGCAGCGGTTTAATTATTATTATTAATTTGCCTATCGGTGTATCTGACGGATACGGTTTTGAACCAGGCCCGAGTCTTGTGCCTCTCAAATCGCCCGTTTGGCCGTCCTGTCGTGTGGCAACTGAAGGCAAGTCTTGCCGAAAGTTGCAACCTTTTTAGGCCTCACTTTCGCTCTCATTCTCATCGCTTCTCTGGTCAATTCTCTCGGGAATTCTCCCTCTCAGTGGGCGGCTTTTGGGTGGTTCTGCTAGATATGGCTCGGTTCTAAATGTTAACGATTACAGAGAGTCACAAAATCGAGAGAACCAGCATTTTAGGTGATGGACAGTGGTGGTCAATTAGAAAAATATTTATCGATTTAAGAAAATTTATATTTAATACCATTTATTTTAGTTTACCCAGAGATATTTCGAGATACATATATTCAAAAAGTAAAACATTTTAAACAGGTTTCTCCTAGTGCTTTGGTATTTTTTAATAAAGATCATTACCTAATTAATTCCAAACGACCTTGGTTACAAGAGATTTCTGTGTTAACTATTCACTATTAACAATTTTGTATAAGAGTTTAACATATTAAATAAACCCAATTTCAGTTATAATTATTATTAATTATGTTTATTTAATATTTTATTAATGTTAACTGAAATACATTTGCAATAATTGTATATTTACTAATAAACAAAAAAGTAATTAAGTGGTATCTATTGTTAACTTTCGTTGATTTATGAAATGTATACTGGCAACAATGTATTTCGCTTTTTAATTTTTATCAATTACCACTGTGCATCATTTGTTTTTTGTTTGAACTATGCTCTCAGCGCCTCTCGCCGTGATATCTCTCAATATTAGTTCTCTTTATCGCTCCACTCGGGCAGTTGTGGAGCCGGCATATTTTTTTTTTTGTTTATATTTGCATACTGAAATTGTTTGTCCGATTTTTGTTTTAGTTTCATTATATTATTTTTTTTTAAATAATTACCTTTGTTTTGAGAAATAGCCGTACTTTCTATGCGGTATAACACATCTTACTGGCACATTTACGGTAAACTGAGGCACAGATACAAATATATCTTTGTGTAAAAATGTAATGAGTATTGTACTCTCTGTCATTTATAACAGAGTGCGTTGACTGGTCGAACTCCTCGAGAAGATGCGTAAATTGGCATTCCACTTAAATAGAACTTGCATTTCAGCGGGTTCATAAAGATACACAGATTAATTATGGTCTCTCTTTCTCTGAAAATATCTCTTCGTTGTACTACTTTCATCTCTAGGTCACCAGCAAACTTTCGCTTTCACTCAAATGCGACGGCGCTCTCAGCAAATACAATTTCCACGCGAAGTGAGCCACGTGCCAACCCTCCCACTGCACGCGGAAAAAGTCTATGGAGACATGGAGGCAGAGAAATGAGAGCCACCTTTTATTTGGTTTAAATCGGCTTTGCTTATCACATGACATTAAATTAACTGTAATTTAATTTTGAGTTTCGGGTGTCTAATTAGTCAGTTAGTCAATAAAAAAATGAATGATGTCATTTTGAAATATTTTTAACAACATCTCTAGGATGCTTTGCACACTTAAATTAATTTTCAATAGTTTGGTAGAGGAGTGTAGGGTAAGGTAACGAACGATTGGTTTTTTGAATGTAACTTTTCTAAAAATCAATATTTTTCAAAAGTGTAAAAACAAAAAGTTGCTTACATCTACTGAGCATATTTCTGTAAAAGTATGATTAGAAATTTCAGCGGAGCCAAATCCCACAACGTATGGCGCAACCCGTCCTTTCCAACTGACGGCACAACTATGTATGTAAAAGCAATACAAAACTACAATAAAATTGCGGCATTTAATGTTTAATGGTAATATTATAGTTTCAACGTTAAAAACTAAAATTCTTGAATAAAAAAAGTTCGTCACCATACCTTACAAAAAGTTCATTACGATACAAGGTACACTTGGAGCAAAAACGGTGTCACTCTCAAACAGCGCCAAGGAAAAAAAAACTCCAAGTTGCAAAAACTGTAGATAAAGATTTCATTTATACGTGCATATACGTATCTGATTTTATGTTGCAATCATCTTTGCTCTGGCACAGCTGAAACACAAATGAATTGAATAGGTTTGGAAATTAGCAATTAGCACCACATTTTTAGAAAAAAACAAGAACTCAGCTTAAGGGAGTGCGAGGGAGATAACTTTTTAACTAATGGACCGATCTGAAAAGAAACAATTTTTACTTTTCCGAAATATTTAAAGACGCGGGCAGACACCTTTTAAAAACGTTTAAGGCGCTTGTGGGAGGGGACGTGGCGGTCGCACACTGGGGCGCCTAGAACAAAAAGCCTGCCAAAATGGTTTTTTTTTTTTAAGATTTTCCAAAATGTTGCAATGCAACTTTAAAAACAATTGTATTTTCTATACAAATCAAAAGGAAAGAGTGATCTGTGATGAATGGTTCTCCCACTACAGGTTTATAAAGTGGATTTTTCGAAATATAATTTTAGCGAATAAGAAAAAAAGGTATTTTTACACATCTTTGAAATTTTCTGAAAGCGCCCAAAGGCCTAAGTTGTATATGTAACGATTGAAATTTTAAGAGCAACCAATTCTTAAAATATTAAAACAAATAAAAATTTTAGATACATAAGTACTATTTTTTTTGGATATTCTTGGACGTAAAGTTTTAAAGTTTAGATATTTAATTACATCTTCTGAAAAAATTAGCCTGCCCTTTTGTGCCTCTTCTGAAAAAACCGCAGTTTAAGTTAGCAAGAAATGTTCATAATTTGAAATATCTCCAGCCCTGGTTCATCCGCGCGCCCTAACATCATGAAGATATTTTACTTATCATCAATACCTCAATATCTTATAGATGTCACAGAATCAATTAAGGTAGAAACCGGTATTTATTTCATATCTGTATTTTTAGTAAAATAACATAATTTAAAATTTTAAGCCTAAATTTGTTTATTAATTTATAATTATCTTCATCATTATCTTCATCAATACCCTTTTACTCTACGAGTAAGGGTTTATACCCGATTTTTCAATATCATAATGTTCCTGCCCTTAATATAAATGGCTTTTAAGAAACATTTAATGCTTTAAGTTGGTGTTGGGTAAGAGTTTCTCAACTGCACTAATGCCTCTACTCGTTACTCAGCTAACCAAGTTTAAATCAAGAATCGACGCAAGGCAAAAGTGTGGCTAACCGTTAGGGGTGTTGGTAGACGGTAGACTGGGCGTGCAAACGCTTTCAAGGTCCATCGATAGGGATTGAAGAAACAAATACAATTTAGTTAACATTATTAAGTCTAGCTTCAAAATATGAGTGCCTCAGTTTTTCGCGGTTGGTGGGCGTTAGAGTGAACGGGGTTTTTGGTCAATCGATGGGAACTAAAGAAACAAATAAATTTCAATTATGACTTTTAATCTAGCTTCAAAACTGTGGGCGCCATAACTTTTCGCGCTTTGTGATAAGGTATCTTAATCCAAAACTGCAAACCTCTAGCTCTTATAGTTTCTCTGCGTTCCTAAATCTCTGCGTTCTAACGGACAGACTGACATACGGACACACGGACAGACTGACATACGGACACACGGACAGACGGACATGGCTAGATCTACTTGGTTAGTGATTCTGATCAAGAATATATACAGTTTATAGGACCGAAAACGCTTCCTTCTACCTGTTACATACATTTCCCCGAATACAATATACCCTTTTATAGTCTATTTACACTGGGGTGGAGTTATGGGGTTATGGGGTTATTGACATAACCCTGTTTTTTTTACATAGTGGGTATAGGCAACTAGATGGGGGCAAAAGTGAGGTACTTTTAGGGTCTTTGGTATTTCGGAGTATTTTTTTGTATTTTTATGTATATTTTGTATTTATTTCCTATCGGTGAAGGTCCATCCCTAGTCAAATAAACCATACAACAAACACTAGATGTCATCACCCGATATTTGGAGTTAACCCAGTGGAAACACTTTTTTGGAGTAATCGGGTTATTGGCTCACTCGATGGTTTACCCCACATAATGTGACTAGACTATTACTCACGAGTATGGGGTATAAAAATTTCAATATTATTCACATTTTTGAATTAAGGCGCCATCAATTCTTCCTTCCGGTTCCTAATATTTTAAAACTATTTTTTTTTTTTTTTATTTATTTGATTTATTATCCCATATGATGCAAGACTATGTCTTTTTGATTAACATCGGTCACTTTGTGGTAATTACAAAATTACTTAGGAACTAGAGGTCCAATTTCATTTAAAGAAACAATAATTATTTTGACATTGAGAAACAAATTCATTTTACAGAAGATTACATGCTTAGATGCTTAAAAAATAGGTAGAGAAAAAAAAGAAAATTTAAAAAGAAGAAGAAAAAGTATTACTAATCAAATTAAAGTTAAAATTAAAATTAAAATTAGAATTAGCTTGTGCCCTTCAAGTAATTTAAAAGAGTTGTTTTAAAGTGCGCTTCATTTCGTACGCATTTTAAGTGGTTTGGGAGGTCATTCCAATAGCGAACGGCCTGAATAAAAAAGTGCTTTTCGGTCATCGTATTTATTTATACATTTTTAAAAATTAAATTAAATTCAAATTCAAAATACGTTATCATTTCAATTCAAAATGAGGAGCTGCCAACTCATATTTACACCAATATAAAAAGCGGAGACACACACCATCGGAGCTGTTTTTGCCGTAGTCCACCTAGGTGGAGCTCATGAGCGTGTGTGGCCGAGAATGCTAGATAGCCATCTAGTGGGGAGAAAAACTTTCCACATCCATGTTCATTAAATTTAATGGTGCACAGTGGGAAAAAATCAGTTTTTTTGGCATAAACTCTAGTTTTAAAGATTGGGTCTTGAAAATTATAATATATATTGCTTATGCGCAAATAGAATTTAGTGGACAACCCCCTAAAAATGTTCAAAATATTTTTTTTGCCGTAGTCCATCTAGGTGGAGCTCATGAGCGTGTGTGGCCGAGAATGCTAGATAGCCATCTAGTGGGGAGAAAAACTTTCCACATCCACGTTCATTAAATTTAATGGTGCACAGTGGGAAAAAATCAGTTTTTTTGGCATAAACTCTAGT